GAAATATCTCCATTTAGGTCAGGAGACCAGAGAGCTGAACCAGTACACTTTCTGTTCACTTCCAGCTTGCGTTTAGCTGTAAACTAAGTTATTTTTGATAGGTTCTTGTTTAAGATGAAGCTGGTTCACTGTCTGGTTGGCTCAGCTTGGGCTGTTTTCAAGGGGAGTCAGTGTGGTAGAATGAAAGGGCTCGGGCAGCGGTGGTGGGCTGCAGCATCCCCGGGGAAGAGGCTCCTGTTCTCACCAGTGGCACGACTTCTCTTCAACTCCTGTGCTGCTCTCTTAGGGCTGAAGCCTTAAGAGAAGCCGTGGCATTGCGCTGCAGTGAGAATGCAAAGAGAGACAGCTCTCTGCCTGGGGAGGAGAAGAGGAGGGGTGGCTTGCTGTCCTCTTTTCCCAGTTAAGCCAGACTTGCATGTGACACCATACAGAAATACAGAAACATCCCGTTTTCAGAGAGCTCTACGAACCTGTGCATATCCACAAATGCGCACACCTGTAGCATCTCCAGGAGAAACGGAGAGCGCGGCTCTCGCACAGCCCTGTTAGCAGTAACGAGGCTGCTCGCCGCCTGCTCTCGGGGTACGCAAGGGCTCAAACCGCACGTGCCAGAAAACGTAGCGAGGAAGAGGCTGGTAGGGAAGGGGATGTGTCAGTGGGGCACTCGCTGCCTTGTGTATCCTCGGAGATGAGCAGGCTCCTCCGAGAGCACGGCGGCTTTCAGCGAGCCGAGCCAGGACCCAGCACCAGCTCCCTGCTGCTTCTTCTCACCCAGCCCTCCTTCAGATCAGTAAAGGCTTCAAAATAATCGTTCAGGGGCAGCCTTTTCTTAGGAAGAAATAATGGTTTGAACCAGTTTTCAGTTCAGATTTATTTCCTCTGTTTGCTGACATCGGGCTCTGCTATTTGCACATAAATTAGTTACAGATTGTGTACACAGAGGTTAACATCGCTGCTGGCCTTCACGTCCACGTGATTGCACACAGAGCAATATGAGTTGGGCAGATGGCAGCTAAAAAAAGCAGATTCCCCATTTTTTAATCAAATGGCTTTTTTAAAATGGAATCTGTAGTATTTGCTTGTCGTTTGAGTGACTGAGGTGATAAGGTAGAAGACTTTCAGATACCATTTCAAAGGGCTCTGTCCGATTCAATACACTTGTTGCTGTGCATTCCTGTTTCAGAGGTTGATTAACACACTGGTTTAAGTAAGTGATTTATCAGAGAACTGCAGAGTAAAAAAAAAAACCTCTAAAGCAATATATTAAGTTGACTGCTACCACTATGGGTCTTTTAGGCATTTTCAGTGCATTTCTGCAGATGTTTGTCTGTTCTGGAATTTTAGTTAAATTAAGTCTAATGGTTTTTTATTTTAGTATTTAGGTTCTATGCTGGTAAAAGAGTTAAGAGGCACAGAGTCAACACAGGATGCATGTGCAAAGATGAGGGTAAGTTAGTAAACCTACTCCTTTCTCTAGCATGACAAAATTAAATGATATCAGCTTGTGATTACCTGTACTGTGCCCTTTTTGCTTTTGTAATGTTCTGCTACCCGTTTGTTTTCCATTTCCCTTACATTTATATTGGTGTTCAGTAGGAATTCTGTTCTGTATTCAAGTAATTCCAAAATTTAAAGGTAGATTTTTATTTTGCATGTTATATCTAAGAGAAAAACAAATTAAGCGTTTTCTCTTGAATCTTTGAGCATGTTTCAAAGTACTTTTGCCACACTTTAAATGTGCCAATATCACATTGCTTTTATAAACAGAATTTATAGCTCGTATGTGATAGTCTAGATTGAATTTACTATGTGAAAGTACGTACTAGTAAATATATTGACATGTTACCAAAGCCATTGTTTTTACGTATGGTCTAATCCTACAGTCACATAATCCTATGGATGCTTTTACTCACACAAGTATTCCAATTAATTTTGAGTTATTTACATGCATACTGATTGAGGGACGAAAAGGGATCTAATTCAGTGTCACCTGATGGTCGAAAAGCGGTTAGGTTTCCTTCAAACTGGTAAGAATATGTTTTCCTGTGGCCCTTTGGCCTGATAATGGTCTGTAGAAGATTACAATGAGGCTCAGTCTATCTCCAAGAAACATACCGCTGCTGGAAACTCAAAACAAGCCACAGGCCAGCTACAACATCTATTTCCAACTGTAGTTGTAATAAGAACGCACCTGTTCATAGAGATGGCGAACGTATCATATCTAGCATGATTAATTAATGAAGAATATAATTGTTTGGTAATCTACTAAATGTGTAAAAATACTTAGATGAATGAGTGAAATCCTTTCTTCTGTGGATCATAAGTCTTTTACGGAAGATGCGTCTGAGCACTAGACGTAGCATTCAGATCAGTTAGAAAGCTGGAAGATGTCTGAAATTCATGCAATCAGACAACTATTTCCTGTTGGTTACATATCTGCAGCACACAGACTTTTGTACAAGCTGTTTTAGCTAAGGGCTGGCAGTAATTCATGCTTACTAGATTGCCTGAAGATCTGTGGCTTTTCAGCTAATTACATGCTAATCATTCCTTACCTGGGCTTAAACTCCTCTAAAAAAAATCCAGCAACTTGACACAGAGGGATCTACAGTTACATACATGTGTTCTGGGGAATTAATTCAGGCTGCAAGCATACCATCCAGTTTTCCAACTGTCAGACTTAGCAGTTCAATTTTTTAGGCATATGCCTGTGCAGATCTTAGGGCAGAATTTGACGCCATAGTAGCATATGACAACTTCAGTAAGTTATTTGACTGAACTAGAAAGCTTAACATCAAAAAAGTCATGCTAAATAATTTATAGCCATGGTAAGGTTTTTTTTTTGAAGTAGTGCATGTGGCAAATTTAAGTCATATACCTGAAAAATTAAGTGTTTGAAAACAAATTTAATTTAAAATACAGTTTTTCTATAAAAATAATGGTGTTGCACTAGTAGTCTATAGTGCCATACAGGACACTTATATAATACAGTGATGGAGTTTATATAAATCTATTTTTTACATTCCCTTTTGAAACCATTGTGCTGTGAGAACGTTTATTTTCTGGTTTGAGAATTTTTTATTGCAAAGAGGTTTGAGTAAAACAGTTTTTAATCAGGATTTCATCTATTCCTTCGATGTAGTCCTTTTAATCATATTCCTATTCAAGTCAGAAGCAAAAAAACATTGACTTAATGGGAACAGATTATTATTTTAGCCTGAGCTTCCCAGTGAGAAAAATGTATCTTTTTCCAAAACTTTCTCCCTCTGGTTGTGTTCTGAAAGTTGGTGCCTATGACTTGGGAGTCCAGGTTGTCCTAAGCCATCCTGAAGTTCTCATGTGCTGTTCAGTATTGTATTTAAGTACTACTGGGTTGTCACTGAAAATGTGGCTTCTTTTGTAGTTACATTTTACTTTAAATGTACTGGAAGGGACATTTCACTTACAAAAAAGAAGTGAAAACCTAGATATATTATTTGCTTCTCAGGTACTGAATTCTGTCCAGTCTCTTTAAGAGTCAGTAAGATTTTTACATAGGGTTGGACTAACATGATAGAGCAACATTTTTAATTTTAGTATTTATTTTCTTTTCCATTTATATATTTCAAATCTGTCACATGCTAGAATCTGAAACACATTGGGGGGGAGCGCATCACATACAACCTTGTACCATGTTGAGGTCCTTCCCCACAGGTTTTTAATCTTTCTGGAGTCAGCCGCACAATAGTTTTTAAGGAGAATGTATGAAAATTAGGTAGCTAATTTTTCTGTCAATGTGGCTTTAGCTTCTCCATCTTTAACCTAATGCTGCTCAAAAAAAGTGTTGATATTAACTGGATGCCTTCCAGTCAGCAGAGGCACAAGGACAAAAAAAGCCTATCAGTAAAAAAAGTGTCTCAATCTTCCTTAATCGTTCATAGATCCAGAGAAACAACCAAAATGACCTGTTCACTGACTGCAGATCCCTCCCTGTTAGCTGGAGATGCCTCCTGTACTTTCAGTTATTGCAATTGATGGGTTTGGTTCTCAAGGGACGTATCACGCTGATATCCCTCACATAACTCTGCAGAGGCGCTTACAGCAGCCTCCTTCCCTTAAGAGTGAAGGGAGATCCTAAATCTTCTATAATGTAAAAAAAACCCCCCAAAACCCCAAACCAACAAAAAAACAACTGGAAATCTCCGTCTTAATAACTCTTCTTGGCTCTCCACTGTACTTCTCAGCATTGTGCAGCAGTGTGCTCCAGCAGGGCAGATGATGGATTTGTTTGGGGAAAATCATGCAGATGCAATAGATTGAGCTCAGCATGGGGGTCAAGGTTATACATGCTTTTTTTTCCCCACCCAAATTGCAGACTCTTGCAGCCATCCAAAATTACGGATATTTGGCAAGAACTGTGCCTATTAAAGGGATTATACTTTCTTTTTCCATTCACATATTTGCACTCCCAAGGATGGATTTATATTTTATAGTTTCCTATTTGTTTCCAGCTATTTTCTCTCACAAACTCCCTCTGCAGTCGACGGCTCTGTCTCCTTATCTCCGCCTCCCACCTGCTGTAAACTGACCTTTGCTACTTGGAGATTAAATCTTGCTGTCCTGGCCAGAATAGATTTATTAATTATGTTTGAGAGATGCCTTCAAGAACTTAAGAGCTTTCATCCTTCTCAGGATGGAATAGGAAATATTACAAGTTCTGTTTTCAATCAGATTACTGCCTTCTCTTCAAATCACCATAGGAACATGAAGCGAGAATAAAATGTGTTTACATCAAAATAAAGAAAAGGAATAAAGTTTAATTTGAGCTAGGAGGAGACTTGTTGTCTACGGTAGACCCCATCTGGCATTTACACATCTGGATTCCCTGACCAGATAGGAAGAGGACAGTTTTATACTTACTGGCATGAGCACAGCAGCAAGGTAGTATCTGCAAGGTTTCCTTGCAGTATTGTTAAATCACTAATGTTGCATACACCAGTTGCACAGTCTGAACCAACCAGATACTTACTGCAGCAGTAGGGAACTTCGATTTTGTTCTTGAATCCTGCCACCTTCCTGAATATTAGGTGTCTGTCTTAAATGTTTTCTTGCTGGAGAAGGGGTTCTTACATTTCACGTCAAAGTTCTGGGGAGCCAGCAACATAATTCTATTCACAAAGCAGGTGTTTAAAAATATCTTGCTGACTACTTAAGACCAAAATGTCAAAGTTGGAATTGCTACAAAATCTGCTTCTCCTGTCTCTGGAGAGGAAGATGAAGATGAAGCAGAGTTGACTCTCTGAAAACAGGCAGGGTCTGGGGTGTTCCTTCCTCATTTCTTCTTAGATAAAGAAGGAGAAGCTGGATATAGATAGCAGTCTCCTTGTTTCTGCTAATCCCTTTCTACTTTTCAGTCTTGATTTCTCCCCCCGAAGTGGAAGTGTCCTCCAAAGAGAAACTAGGCAGACAAATGATCGTGTCAGGATCAAATACTGTATATGAGAATTTAGATTATTTGGTCTCTACTTTCTTAAGGCTTGCAGCTTTGTCTCTCTTGTTTGGCTACTGCTTTGGGAGGGCCTGCAGTGGAACAGGCACATGGGTATTACTGAAAAGGAAAAAAGAAGTGGTGGGAAGTCTTAAAGATGTTATGCACATCCACATCATGCCATCCCATGGGATAGGATCTGTTTGATTCAGCATCCATGGCATCAAATCCTCCTTCAGAGGATTGTATGTCCTTGAACTCTGGCTGAGAGAAGTCCGAGGTGCGGGAGGGATGCACTGCCCTTTCAGCGTACGGATACTGCAAAAGCAAAAAACTTCTCATTCTCAAGCAGATGAGTTGCAGGTGCATTCCCAGTGCCATGTTCATATTAACAATGTAGCTTGGAGGCATCCACTAATTGTAGAGAAGTAAACAGTCTTGTACCACAGGGATTACAGATGCTATCTTATTCCAAGAGGTATTAAATTACATCAGTGATGCATTTTTAAGCCTTTTGAACTGAGAAAAGTTAGTAAATCTTTGTTACAAGGCAGATTGTAGTTTCAAAATTGGCTTCAAAACTAACAGGGCAAAAGTGAACTTTGACTTTTTATTTCAGTTTCAACTCGTGCATGATATTGTCAAAGTGATTCACTCAAAAGGAAGTTTCATGAGGAGTCATAAGTAACAGGCTTATGGGTAGGACAGAAGGTGGTACCAATACATATTTTGAAATGTGCATTTTGATGCCATTTGGAATTAATAGTTGCTACCAGTATGGGAAAATGTTCAGATTCTTAGTGAAGTGGATTCCCGTACATAATTGAATAGTAAAATTGCCAGCTAGTCTTCAGATAGCTATTAAAAAACAGTATAAGACAGAATTAGCAGATTCATTTGCAAAAGTAAAAAGCCAAGATGAAATCTTAAGATTTTATAGGCTTTTAAACTTGTACTCGAAATTTATGTATGGAATTGTTAGTGACTTGGCATAGTTGAATAATGTCTTTTTACTGTGTATTTGCAAGATCGAGTATAATTACATATGCAGGAAAACCTACAAACGAACATGGTTTCATTTTGGCTGCTGTATGAAAGCTGAGTAATCCAGTTATAAACATATATATAAGTACATGAAAGTGGTCAACGTGACAAAGTAGAAGTACCAGTGTATCCTGTTTCCTCTTGGCAGGAAATAAATAGATGAGATGAAAGCATTGTGAGTGTGGGCTGGATTACGCCATGTGCTACAGCATATCAAGTGAATGCGTGAGCATCTTACTCGGACACTGTTCTACGGGTGCTCCCGAATTTCTCATTCAGCTGCTTTGTGTGTGTGCGTGCACAGAGATACCATGTTTTGTACACCACGGGAGTATTCAAAAGTGTTGGATTAGTGCTCTCAGTTCTGCGCAGAACAAGGTATTGCAGTACAATCCTGTGTTGAAAGGATTAAAGGCCCTTTAGGTTATATATTTTATAGTTGCATGTATGGCCTTTTTAAAAATAAACAGCTAGTTTATATTGCTTTATTCCTAGAACAAAGTCTTCTGCCTCTTAAGCCATCATTAATTATCTTGATTTGTTAGGTACACTGCTGGGTGGATCTCAAACTCTTTGGAGTTTATTTTATATTCTAAATAAATGTCTAGCAGTTCTGCACAGCATTTTTTAACTCAAAATCCAAATACAGGTGGAAATGCTTTACCCACTTAAGACAATTTGTAGTACTGTACTACAGAAATCTGTTTAGAGTCTGCTTGTCAATATGGTGGGTTTTTTCAGTGAAACTAAAGAAAAGTCATGAACAAGATCAGAAGGAATCTTGTTTTCTTGCTCTCTCCCTCTGGCACCATTGCTCTTGCACCCCTTGATGACCAGTTTCAGAAGGAGGAATTGGGACCAGTCCTCTCCAAGGCTATTCAGGATTTTGGCACTGCGTAATGGCAGCAGTGGGTTCAGATGCAAACTCAGAAGGGTCTTAAATCCAGACCTTTACTGTAAGAGCAAGCACTGTAGTAACTAGGCAATTTTGCAGAAGAGGCCTTCTACCTCCTTCCACTGGACGGATCTCTGTTCTGGGTGCTGAGGGGATGAAGCAGCTTCATTGCAGCAGCTGCATCAAAATACAAGAGAGGCTGCTATTCCTGATACTCTTTATTCTGAAGAAAAAGATGCTGTATGTGAACCAATGTCACATCAGATTTAGGATGGTGATGTTTTCTTCCATCTTCCTGTGCCTGCAGTCAAGCCTGCTTTATGGTTCTTGAGTTACACGTGGCCTGCCTCCATGTAGTCACCTACCTGTCCCGTAGGAAGCATTTCCGAAGTGGGACCAAAGCTCGGTCTCTGGCATGCAGACTGCAGCACTGAGACTCCTCGCTGCAGGAGCAGTGCACCTGAGGAGACGGGGCACGCACATCTGTCCTTACGGAGACGACCAGCTGATCGGAGACAGGCGGTGGCAATGAGCCTAGAAGGTGCTTGCTGTTCATCCAGATGATTCTCCTGAAGAAGTGTATTAAAACAAAGAGCCAAAGTTGCAGTCACCAGCCATGGAGTTTGTAGAGACTATGACCAGTTCCAGGCTAGTGAGCACTTGCCCAAAGACAGGGTCCTGTCACTATGATTGCTTCTACATCAGCTAAAATCTAATCCTGCTACCATGGTATGAACATGCCTTGGAGCATTAGACCATATTTCAGCATGCACATGACATCCAATGCCAGCCTTCAGCTGTGGCTCCTCTAACTTTGGCTCAGGTCCATCTGCTTCCCATAGAGGCACCAGATGGACAAGAATATTTTGCCATCTCATCGTGTCCTCACAGAGCTGATACGGTGGCTAGAACCTGAAAAGCCCAAGGAAAGGGAATAGTAACTCTTGCATCCCACCTTCTTTGCAGATTCTGGGCAGAGATGCCCACTTGGCCTGCACAGAGGTGTGAAATGTCTGACCATGAAAGCTGTGGGGCTTCATCTCAACATCCTAGAATTTAGAGCCAAAGCCGTTACAGTGCCTGAGCGAATGATATTCATACTGTAGCTCTGAAAACTCACATTACACATCCTGGCAGCCACCTCCTCCATTAAAAAGAAAGGAACAGCAAGTGTATAGTATGAGCTCTCCATGACAACTCAGAACTGTGGAAGTCTGGAGGGTGCTTGGAGATAGTATTTACATGGTGGACTTCAGTTACTCTAGCACTGGGAGTTGAGCGGGGGGGAATAGTGCTGTGTGTTTTTCATGATAATACTGTCATAATAATGAAGGATGTTACGCCACTGCCCAACTCTTTGTTGCAATGAGGGTACAAGTGCAGAATAGTTTCCCAAAATCCTGTTTCTACACTGGACCATGGTCTACCAGAACACCTTTGCACAAATCCTGGGGTTTGTATGGTTTGCAAGCTGATAAGGGACATCTGCTGCTCCTTACCAGCTGAGAGAGTTTGGCTTAATAAATTACAAGTGTCCATCAGTCTCTGATTCATTTCCTAATTTGCCAGCTATAATTTAATAGTATCTTGATGAGCTATTTCACTCAGATACAGTCTTCTGGCAGTTCACGAACTTGATTAAATACTAAAGATCAGGTCTGCTCTAGACAAACCCAGGTGAATGTGGAACAGATAAGGAAGATAATTGAATTACAAACTACTGGTCTAGATGAAAGAGGACTCCCAGACTGTTAGTACAATGTGGCCTTGCCAACAGGAAGCTTAACCTCTATGGCAAATGGAAGATAGTGCAAATTACACCAAAAAGCTAAAATAAATGAACTTAGTAGCCATGTTTGTATAGTGTGTTGGAGGAGAAGAGGAATTTTGCCTAAGGAGGTGAGGAAGGAGATAGATAATTACAATGATCAAAATGGGAGACAAAGAGCTCCTGAGTGTGGCTGTCGGGACAGAAAGAAAGGACAAAAGTTGGATGATTGCTGGGTTGCCAGATGATTAAAGTGGTGTTGTCATATTTGTGAATATTTTGTCTGTTTATGAGCATATTCGGGGTATTTTGCTTGTTATTCTGATAGATGTAGGTACTGCAGCTTCCGTACAGTCACTGTTGTGCTTTCTGTGCATTGAAATTGAATTGAAAAGGGTCATTTGAGATCTGTTATAGACACACACAGGTATGTACTTGCTCTGCTTTTTGGCAGGGATACCGTTTCTTTCTGCACTCAGTTCAGAAACATGCAAATCAGATTAGTGTCTTACTGCAGATTTTGTTAGATTCTTCAGGATGTTTTACCATTTAAGCTTTTATTTTTTAAAAGTGCCTAGCCTTCTGGATGAAAGAAGCTTTCTTGAGGATAAATTGACACTTGATTGTCGTCTTGAGTCTCTTGTCGTTTGATACTGAGATGCAACAGTCTTCTCTATTACATGGATGGGTGGGGCTCTCCTTGAAACTTTAATTAGAGGTTTTAGCCTTCATGGCACAGACAGGAATTGCAGAATGTAGCTGGATCTGTAGCTTTGAATTTTATGCTGGCAAAAATGGAGCATCATTTGATTCTGGAAGGAACAAGATCTGATAAGGGGACTTGATTACAGGTTTTTTTTCTTTTAAGCTTTTGTTTGTTTTGCTCTCTAGTGTTAGCATCACCTGTTTTTGACATAATTTTTTCAGATATAGTCTGTTTTCAAGCTTATATCGATGCTGTTTTGTTTTTCTTGAAGAATACAAAACCACCGCTGCTACTTTTGTTCAGCTGCTCTAAAGATCTTTCTAGGCACCAATTCCAGACCTTTCAATATCTTTACACTCTCATTCCGTGTGCTGATGTTTCTTCATGTTTAGCTGTAACTGAACTTACTCTTGCCTTTCAAGAAAATGTTCGACTGGTCTCTGTGATTGTTTGCAGATACTCCCATGAGTGAGTGTTCTCTGAACGTTATCTAATTTATTTCTCTGCAGTAGCTTTGTATAGAATAGTCTAGTCTGTTATTGCCTTCCACCTTAAAAGAATTCAAATCAGCTATAAACTATTATGCCATATTTGGGTTTTTGGTTGGTTGGTTTTGGGGCTGTTTTAGTAAATTTAATCTGTAAACTAATTAACAGGTTTTTCTGCAGAGAACTTAAATCTATCCCAAATATTTGTCTAATCTGTTCAGGAGGAAATATCTTTGCTGTGTGCGTCACATTGAAGGCACACAGAAGTAGACTAGCATAAAAGAAAAAATAGCCTTATAGGAAGACATGAACTGTAAGTAGGAGAACCTGGCACGGAGGGAATGCAGAATAAGCCTCCGTGCTAATTCATGTGTAAAGCAGCTTCCAGTAGCAGCTGCACTCGAGGAAGTGCAGACAGTCAGATGTGACAAGATATGGCGTTGGACTGACAGATTGACTGGCAGGCCTAGAGGGCTACAGGGCTACCTCGTGCCACAAATACAACTGCAAGGAGGCAAGAGTGTGAAACATTTCTAAATAACAACTAATTGCAGCAAAGAAACAGTACTATGAGAAGTACCATGCTGTTGGTTTTTACAGCTGGGAAGGGCAGAAAGAGGGGAGGAGAGGCAGCGATGAATGAGGTGTATCAGATAGACGTCTTAAACACGCATGTTTTGGGAAACCCCTGATTGCATGTCTGGTCTTTTTAAGCCTGGCAAACTAACTTCATTCTATTCCAATTGTGCTAGGAAAAAGGAGAATTTTTACCATCCTCGCAACACACTGTAAGGCTCTCTTTAGTTTTGTAACTGCGAGGCAGCTTTTTCAAAAGCCGGAGCATAGTCAGCTCAAGAAAAAGTCAAATATTTGGATAAGTACCTTTTGTTTAACTTACGTATTTTGTCAGAAGAGAAGAAGGAGCACTGTTCTTGCAATGCAACACAACTCTAACAACATCTTCATTTTGATTTCAGAAGTCTACAGAACAGATGAAGAAAGTGCCAACCATTGTCCTGTCTGTCTCTTACAAGGGAGTCAAATTTATTGATGCAACAAATAAGGTATGTGCAACTGTTCATTATTAGCCTGTATTTCTTACAAATGGGAATACCTATGAGGCTGGCTCTGTAAGAGCACCAGGCCAGAGAGGGGACAGTTGCACTTTGTGTTTTCCTCTCTTTTTTCTCTTCTCTCCAAAATGGGTGTAATCTCATTGTCATTCTCCAGAAACTCAGTCTGGAGGACAAGTGAAGCAGCTTTAATGGCTCATTTAATGGCCCATGGAACATTGTGTCCAACCTTCTTCCATTAAAAGGCAAGCTTATCACAAAAGGCATTTGGCAGGAAGCCTCTGTGGAATCCTTTACCATGTTCTTCCCTATACAGTTTCTTAAATATGCAGGAAAAAAAATATATTTTTGTTCATTAATATAATTTGGGGGAAGAAAAAAGATGTCTTAATGAAGAATAAAGATGCAAGGTTTTATCAAGGGCCAGGCATTGTAAGAATAAGAAACATGAGCCATGAATGTCCTTTTCAAATGTCAGAGCCTCTCTGAGGGCTGTTTTCCTGGTACTAGCCATTTGACTCCCTGAACTGCAGCAGCTTCTTAACAGTTGTTATTCCATATTTTTTCATCTTCCTGTGTGGCAATGCCCCTGTGCTTTTTCTTACATTTTAAAATACATCCAACATCTTTTACAAAAAAAGGCAGAAATTGAGAGATCAGAGAACTCAGTGATGGATAGAGCAATGGGTTATTGCTTAGCCAAAGTAAAATGTACAAGCTCTGTAAGCAGGAGTAAAGTAATGCATGAATTTCTCTTCTTCAGGTGTCTAAAATGGCAAAAAAATGCAATCCATACTGATGGTTACGTATGAATAGAAAAGAAATTATCTTTTCTGTTACATGACTAAAATTCAGTAAGCAATATAAAAAATGTCTGATACCCCAGCTACCTGACCAGGTTAATAATGTATATAACAGCTTTGTGTTGTTGAACATTCAGACCACACGATACATCTAGCCCAGTACCTGTCAAACTTGCCGGATCGATCAGTTGTTAAAGGTGTTTAACTAGAACTGGCGTTTAGGTGAAGGAGCGAAAGCAGATTTGTGAACTTCTGCTAGAGTTTGGAAGCCATATCTAGGGTTAGAAGATGGCATCAAAGAAAACCAGAGATGAAATTAGTTAGGTAAAGTCTGGCAAATTTGCCAGAGCAGAGAGGCCAGGGATTCCTGTCAGCTCCTTTTTCTTCCATTGATTCAAAATTGAGCTTCTACAACCCTCATTTCCTTTATGTTCTCTGATGTGCAGGGCATAAATCAGGACATTGTAATGCTATTAACTCTAACTTGGATAAGGCTGTTTTCAGCTCTTAAATATCTCCTCCGTAGTGTAAAGGATGTAACTGCAATGTCCTTAGGTTTACAAAAAAAATCAGGAGAACAAAAGGAGCTTCCAGTATCTCTTTGCACAGTACATATAACTTTCCGTAGGACGGAAACTTGAAAGAAGTTTCGCAAATTGCATTCGGTGGCTCTAGACCAGTCCCACTGAAATCTTGTGCCTAGTAGTGCAATAGATGTATTTGATGGAGGTAAATAATGCCACGGTCCTGTGTTTTTTCTCGAGTGGTAGATTGCTTTCTCTCCAGTTCAAAATCTGCACTGCCTTTCCCTTCTGTAAAAACCAGGTAATAGCCTGCAACTCTCCCAGGAGCGTTGTTGTCATCCTGGTCCACAGTGTGCTGTACCCAATTCCTTCAAGACCCAAAACAGATTAGCACTAAGGTGAGATCCTATTCAGACTTGTACCGCTTCCATGCGAGCTTATAGTTGATAGCGCTGGGCACCACTTAGCAATAAATGCATACTTTTTAATGACAAAAATAGCTAGCAGTTATGTGCTTGAAAACTCAGCTCTCATGGCTGTTCATCCTTTTCCTTTATGCCACCAAGCTAAGAATTTGTATTCCGAGTCGTAGCAGGCAAAGCTTCAGGTGACAAAGGGGCCCTGACCTCATTCCACGACAGCTATTTCAGTGGCGCCTTGAAGCTTGGCATGACACCACTTTGACATGACACCATTTCTTTGCGAGTGAGGCCAGAAAGAAATTGCTGCTTAGGAAAAAAGCAGGCTTGCAGAATTTTCTCGTGGGTCGCAGCTAACCCTAACTTCTGGGTGGTTTCTGCCAGGAGGGGGATTGCCTGACAGGAGGTAGGCAAGCAAAAGGAAGGCTGCTTAGCAAAAACCTGATCTCTCCAAGGTATTTCCTTGGCAGAACCAGAGCCGAGTTTCAGCCTCCCTGCTTTGAGAAGCGCCGGAGGTTCCTCTTGCCAAACGGAGTGACAGTTTTTAGAATGACGACTGTACAGTGTCGGTCAAAGCCTGAGAAGCGTACCCAGAGCAGCGAGCTGGTTCACAGCCTTGTCATTTCCACAGAATAAGACCATGGGTCTACCCCAGGAAACAGTAAACGTGTGCACTGAAAGCATGTTTAATTTTGAAAAGCGATCACAGAGGATATCCTATAGAAGCTAGGGAAAAAGCTCAATTTCACTGCTGATTTTCATCCAGAAAATTTATTTTTGGTATAGCTTATTTTATTCAAAACAAACATGATATGGATACATATCCAAACTTCACTTGGCTTAAAGTTAAAACATTAAAATAATCTTTGACTAAAATGAGTTTTGACTAAAGAGCAAAGCCCTGTGTCAACCCGAGGTCACCTCAGAAAAGTTTCAGCCTAGCAGAGCTCTCTTCACATACCCTGCGTAACTTAGCTGACTACTTTGTGGCTCATGATTTGGCATAAATATTTTACATGATTTTAAGACCTTCCAAGCTTTAATTCTTTCTGCCTTCTAAACTGTAATGTTGCCAATACAACATCAATGACAGTGTATTACAAGTATATCTGTGGCTATCTAAATAAATCCCTGGGTTTCGTATAATTGTAATTCTCATCAAAATCTTTATTGAGGGTAAAAGTTATCAATTTGAGAAAAAAGCAAATAAAATGCTTAAAGTAACATAAAAAGCCAGTGATTGTTAAGCAGAGCTTATACATGTCATTATAAATTGGCATATATTGAACCATAAGTACTGGTTTTGTCATTTTTATGAATAATGCATTAAAGAGAAATAATCAAGTATGTTGCAACAATTTAAGATTAAGAGGATTATTTCATTTCTTCAGTAATGGTTTCCTTATCTCGTTTTTTTCCATAATTTGAAATTTGGAATGCTTTTTATTAAGATTTTTCCTAAGCCATTTCTTCAATTAGATATATTAATGTGTCTTTTTGAAAACTTGACACCTACATGCAAGGGGGGAAGGTTGCTACTTAGCAAATGAAAGAAGATATGGCAAAGCACCTTCAGTGACTTAGTTGCATATATTTCCTGTTCCTTAACAAAAAAAAAAAAAAAAAGGGGGGGAGGAGAGGAGGTGGGAAGAAAAAGAGAGGGGTGAGGGAAAACCACAGATGCTGAGAGATTGTTTTAACTTGGACAGCAGCAAACGGTGGCTCTGCGGGGACCGGGACACTACGGACGTCCACGTTCTGTGGTGCAATAGCGACGTCATGCTGCAGCAGGCTTGTTCACTTTGGGGTCTTGTGGAAAAGCCAGAGCTACAGCCAGCAGGGCCACAATTCCGAAAAGCGTATAAACTAACGGCTAAGTAAATTCGTATTCGATAAATCCTCCTTCTGTTTCAGTAAATCATTGGAAATGCGTGTGTTGCTGAAGCAAGGCCTAATCATAAGCCGCTCTGCAGTATCTTCTCTGGCTTCATGGTTCCTTTGGCCTGAACACAATAATTACATATCAGCAATTTATGTAATGAATATTCATAGTTTTCTCCAAAGCTTTAAGACAGCTTTTTTTTATTTCATCGGACAGCCATGCCCCACCTTTATCTCAATAGTATGCTATAGCTTACATTGGCTGTTGCAAGTAGTGTTGCTCGGTGCATGAATGGTTTAATTTTTCTACATCTCTCTTACAGGATGCTGTTGTCAGTAATTGGAGAAAAGTTGCCAGATCCTCCTGTAGTTATCTTTTTACTAAGCAGAAGCCTTTCAAGAGCTCAGGGTTTCAGTTATACGTCATGTTTGGTGGTTTGTTTTCTTCTCTTGAAAAAGTATAGCTGAAATTTGTCAAACTAGTGCAAAAACCTGGATATTGAGCCTGTTGGGTTTCACCAGATCCTGTCCATCAGTAGATTGAACCAGTGTCATGTAGTGATCATTATACAGAAAACCAGCAGCATCATAAGATGCTTGTGTAGTGCTTTGAAACTGTATTTACAGTTGTACGCCAGGAAAGGTGTCCCTTTGTCATAGGACACTGAATAAACTGTACAGAACTCAAGCAGACTCATAGGGGAGACGCTAGAATGTAATTGTTTCCTACCAGATTATTGGCAGTTTTAGGCATCATTGGAGAGGGTCAAAATTCCAATGACCTCTGTAATATCACACGTGGGGTGTGTTGACTCTCGTCTTAATAAGAAACTTCTGAAATACTTCAGCACAGCAAAATGCAAATCTAAACCCACCCCTTTTATGGCTCTTTTACATTTAATTCCTAAATTGATTGAAAATATTTTTTTTAAACAGAATATTATTGCTGAACATGAAATCCGTAACATTTCCTGCGCTGCACAAGACCCTGAAGACCTTTCTACATTTGCGTACATCACTAAAGACTTGAAGACTAATCACCACTACTGCCATGTATTCACTGCGTTTGATGTGGTCAGTTTACAGAATATCCTTCATTTAATAGTTCTTTGTAACAGTAATACATCTTTAATTCTGTTAAAACATTTTCAGGGTATATGGTGATTAATGGAAGGTATCATTCGTTTACCACATGAAAAGACTAATCTGCTATGGGATAGTAAAAGGACATTTCTGGAGAAGAGCAAAGATTTTCTCTGAAATTATCTCATTCCCCATCTGAAATAACTCACCTCAGTAATCTCCATATATGCTTCTTAGGTGGTGATGCACGGGCTACTAGTGTTTCAAAAAATCATGGACACATGTCAATTAATCAGTCATGCTGTTTTCAGCTAAATTTGGTGAAATGAGTAGTAGCTCTAATTTTTAGGACTGAGAGGGCTTACTGTCCAAAACTTCCAGGAGTACTTACCCTTTGAGTTAAGGTCAAGAGGAATTTGCAGTGCTATTAAAACTTTAAAATCCTTCAAGAAAAAATTATTTTAATATGGTATAATGTGTATGAATTCTTGAAACATGCTTACATGAATCTAAGTTTAAAAAAAAATAGAGCTGTCTGAATTGAGGCATTTTGTTTGGGACTGGGTAAAGAGTCACTGCGGAGCGATAGCATGTAGGAGAGTTAAAATAACAAGATGTACAGGAAGGTAGGTTAGGAGGAATTTTAGCATTTTGGTTCAGTGCTTCTGTTGAAATTCTCTGCTGACATTTTTGTGTCCACAGGGAGTAGAAAAAACTTCAAAATTGTGTTAAAAATAGACTATGGTCAACAAGATGTTACATTATATAGATTTTAGCGATGAGTGAATCAACTGAAATTAGACTGATTGAGTGAGGTTATTATTTCTCCTGATCCATTTAAATACTTCTTAATGGTTTCAAAGTACTGCAGTTCCATTTATAGGTTTAATAATCAAGCACAAACGTAGACCCAGGTAGAGCAGATGAAATTCATTTTCTCCTTGCTTGGCAAGGAAAGAATAGCGATCCAGGAATAATTGCAACATTTTGCTCACTTCCCATACCTTAGGAGGAGCATTTAATACCCCAAGCACTTTAAATGGCTATTTTAAGCAATACAGAAATTTTAATGTCTAACTGTCTTAACTTAGTTTTCTCCTGCAACATAATCGGGGGGGGAGTGGGGGTGTTACCTACTCAAATATTCTCTTTTCGTGTTGTTTTATTTCTCAGGATCTAGCATTTTTGATGCAAGTACAAGCTCCATAAAAAATAGCTAGGTATTCAGAATGCAACCATACAGTAAATGAAATTTTCTATTTAAATTCTAAGACATATATTAGCCTGATCTTCCAGTTTGCTAATAGAAGCAATGCTACCCATTTGTCAATGGATAGAAGTCCAATCGCATCAAGAAAAATAAAGTTTGAAATAGTAGAAATCCACATTAAGGTGTAAAAAAGATACATCTTAAATCGTATCTATTATGGTAATACAATACCTGCAATGGTATGAAGAAATTTCACTCTCTTAAGTCCTTCAGTTCCTCAGGAAATGTGGGCAAGAACAATTTTTTTGCAGATGGGAAAGCATTTTAGTGTAGTGACGTCAGCTACCAGCATTGATACTGATACTATTTAGGAGTGACTGTACATGTAACTTGTCTACTCAGAGTTAAAATTCTACAATCAAAATTGCAAAAACATCAGACGATTAAAGAATATTGAAGGGGACCAGGTTTGGGGAAAGAAGAGGATTTATTGCTCAATATTTGAAATCTACTTCATTCTCATTCACTTATAAACCAGCCCTAAAACTACCAGTGAAGGATTCCTCTGGAGAAACAAACCATAACAGTTCCTATACTGAATTCCGGTTCACATGTGGGAGACATCCAAAGTAATTTCCATCAGATATTCCTTCATTGCCCAATGCACCTATGAATAGAAAACAACCAGCATAAATTGGAACAATTTCCGCTCTGGCTTGTGCCAAGGATTAGACTGGTGCTCTGCATAACACAAAGACTTTTTTCTTCTTTTCTGTATTCTTTTGTCATTTGTTGCATAGACTTAAGCTGGATAAGAACTGGAAACTGCTAGTATACATACTTAGTAGAGAAGAAAAAGCATGCATTCAGGTTTCAAAGTTCTGTTCATTGCCTTCTTCCAGGGGATTAGGGGACTTTTTCTCTGTCCATATGATCATCCAGGTACAATCAGCGTGGCATCCCCATGTCTCCAGAACAGCAAACGTCTTTCCTTCGCAGTACCCCAAGACGGCGTGCCCAGGCAGCCCCCTCTCTGGGGCATATGAGGTGGAATGTGTGAAACATTTCAGTTGCTCCTGGCAGACTTCTTGAGGTGGAGCATGCTTTGGTACAAGGAGCTTTCAGGTCACGAGCAAACAATTCGCTCCTCTCTCATCTACATCGATGGCTTTTGCAACAGCATGAAGGCCCACGTTGAAGGCCTGTTTCCATCCTCCCATTGCATACAAGATCTCTTTCTGTGCTGTATTAAAAGAGAGAGATGGATTCAGAAGAGTTTGCCATCCACGATTGCTTTAAATCCCAAATGAGAAAGGATCAAGAATAAGTTGCCAGAGTGCCTGATCACGAAAGCCTCATGCATCCCAGGAGTCCACAGCCATCGCAAGCAAATGCCAACCACGTTGGTCTCATCACACCAGCTTTGGCGAGCTGAGCTTTCTTCCCCTCGAATGCACAAAGGCTGACACGGTGGAAAGTGCAGACAAATGCCCTTTCTAGATCCACCCAAAAGTAAAAGATCTGTGGTCTGGAAGGATAAAGCATATGTGTACTTAACACTGTTAATGTATAGGTATTTCAGCTCTGCATCACTCATAACTCCTGCTGCTAGTAAGTAACCTTCCCTTCTTGTCAGGCTTTTGTAGTAGAATTCCTCTACATTTGGCCTTGAAGACCCTTAGTATGACTAAACAGTAGGCAACTGATTTCATCCCAAGGGATGGATATTTTGAACTGGGTTGGGATTTTTCAGGTTTTTCAAGTAAAGATTCCATATACTCTGTTCTGCTCGATTTTGCCAACTGCCATTTTAAGTTCGGTACCTTGAACACAGGGTGTCCTAATTGACATTCCTACACATCCGATGTGATGGGTAGCTCACACTAATCATCTGCGGAACTCCAAAGGAAACTTCTTCAGTAAATTCAATCTTCAAAAAAGATCACATTTGTCATTGATCTTAAAGAAGAAGAAAAAATCATCACTTAAAAGCAAAAACCCATAAAATCCTCATTACATCAAAAGTGCTATCCCCAAAAGGCAAAATGTTAGTTTTTCCAAAAATTCCTTTGCAAGTGACATTTTAAGTTTTTATAGCTCAGAAGACAGCGATCTTACTCTCTCTCTTAAAATATTCTCAAAGCCTCAACATAGCTTTATAGAAGCATTACAATGCAATGAAGAAGCAGTGCCTGCTGCAACTTAACACAGTAAAAAAGCCAGTTAAAATGTAAGAAAACAATTAGCTGTTGTAATAGGTTGGCTGAGTTAAAGCGGCTGAAGAATCCTGACTCAGGCTTGTGCTGGGGCATTGAATTGTAACATTACATGGCAAACAAGGCAATTGAATTCAATTTCTCATCTCCCAGAAATTGTTGCTTAAAAGGCGTTAGCTTACTCACGTTCCTTCTGTGCTGTGCCAAGCAAGGAGCAGGACTGTAGCAGCCGCAGAAGCACCGCGGTCCTAAAATTTTTTCCGCCTTCCTAAGGAGCTCGATGGGATGCTGTAAGGGTCAATGTCTTCTACAGCGAGCACAGGGTCTACAACTTTCGTGCTAAGCGTCTTTTGGAGAGGCAGACCTGTTTCCTTCCTTTTATGCCACATGTAAAAAATTCAAATAGTCTCCCCACTCTCTCAGAAGAAATTCCACAATGGATTTTGTGGTTTTGGTTTTCCACCCCATCCCAAGGAAATCCTTCTCTTCCCTCTCTCGTATAGCCCCTGCAAGAATCCGTACCAACTCAATCCTCATAATCCTCTCCTAGTACTACAGGTGAGAAATTCTTCAAACCAAACTTATTTACTGCTGTTTTTTTCAAAATACAATTTTTCAGATAACTTTTTTAAATCTTACAAGGTACAATTTTAAAGCCCTCCTTGCCTCCATCTGCAGACTTCTCTCCATCAAGGCTCTACCACAGTACCCAGTGTATGAAATTTATGTACATGTTATGGTTCAGTTTACATTTTGAATATCGAACAGAACAGTGAATGTTCTGTTTTATTTGCTATATTTCAAATATTTATTAACCATAGAAACAGTTACATGTTTCCCATGGCTTTCAGGCTCCAGGCAGGCCTATTTTTTCATTTTACAGACTACAAAAGAAAACAAATCATAGTGACTTCTGACAAGATGCAGGACCCAGACTAGATTTATGGCTCAGCATGGCAAACTTTCTGCTTGTCTCCACTCTTATCTCAGAGCTTTTTCAGGCCTGTCTCTGTGACCCTTTTGTACGCCACACTGGATGGTGCGTTTTTTCGGTCCCACTAGTATTACAGTCTGCTTTTTCTCCAAGCCATTATTACACCCTGTCCTGTTGATGTATTCCTTAGCAATAATAATATCCACTGTAGACAATCCCATGATGATATAGTACACTATCTTACTGTCACGACAGCTGATTAAGATGTCTTTAGAATAATATTCTTGTCCTACTCATAGGTGTACTCCATTTCAAATAATATTATTCTGTACATTTTTAACAATTGTACTCTCTGTTCTTAATTCCATAGCCAGCGTTCTGCTAAAAGGCAGGGTACTTTATAATAGTCGCTTTAGTCTATTACTCCACTGGCAAACTGCATCCTCAGTGTTTCTCGGTCCTGGCCAGTTTCCTTAAGTTAAAGGGGAGACAAGTGGGAGACTACTGCTATCAAATCAGGCAGATGTTTTTATTTGGGAAGCGATGAAACTTTGGCTAGCTTGCTGTTGTGACTGCAGTGGTAACAGCTGAGAGCATATCCCATTGGAGGAGTATAATTTTCTGTCTGACCTAACAAAGACCAGACCTGGCACCTTTATAAGAAGCTCTTCTAATGAGCTAAAAATGCTGAATTTAGCCTGTACTATCTCAGTATACATGTGTGATAACAAAGGGATGGAATTTCTTCATGACTACAGTGAAGTTACAGTGTGGGGCGTGAAATAAAATGCTTATCCTTTTAACTGTGTTTTAACGATGGAAGGGCAGAAAGTGTCCTTCCAAGTGTCCTACATTGCTTTCTGGCTTATTGCAAACTCAAAATTAGACTTGACTAGCTAAAGAGATATCATCTCATTTAAAATTACATCAGAAACGTGGGAATTTTAAGGGAACACCTAGTTTCAAAGCAATGCAGGGTTGCTTCCAACTACGGGCTACAGAGATTGAGGAAGCAGAGGGTAGCTTCTGAATTACAGCAAAGATTTATGAATTATTCTGAGAAGACTGTAGGACATAAGGAGGCAAGCCTGCAGGCTTGCATTTGCTCTGCAGGGCTTCAAAACATTATTGCAAAGTTAGTAGCCTAGAAATAGGCTCTAGTAGGAACCTAGAAATAAATACACTAAAACAAACCCACAAACCTGAAGAAAAACTGCCATCAAAATTCACTTGCAGTTTAGACAAGGTCAGATTTGAAACTCAGAGCTGCTTTTTCAGAGATGTAAACTGTACTGAAAAAATATTTACACCGACCCGCTGGTTCCTCATTCATGCTTTATAAACCTTTCAACAGGTTTTTTTCCACATATGTAATGAGAACTTAAAGTATTCTACCTGTACCACCAAACTGGTCTTAGTCTTAAGAGCCTGACTTCTTTGGAGATACACACTAACCCCCCTGCCCCCACTTACAAGAGTCTTCTGACTTGCCGGTTTAAGCTCAAACATTTCTACTTCTAGAAAACAAAAGCATAAGAAGGTTTCCGCAGCACTGGAAACGTGCATCCGAAGCAGAGCGCTGACTTTCATGCACACATGGGTGCCCTGCATCTGTGAAGCAGAGTGTGCGCTCGCGACATTTGCTTTTTGTCCTTTTGGAAGTGTCACACCAACTCTGCATCTGCTTCCCAGGCCATTCGGTGGGAGCACAGAGCATCCAGAGGCGCCCGCGTCGGGCTGCCAGCTCTGGAGGAGGACGGGTCAGCAGAGGAGTTCTGAAATAGAGCCAGGCTGAACGTCACATCCGTGCAGTAGTGCAAGATGGGTGGGAGCTGGGGGGGTTAACGTACTTGTTCTAAAAAGAGACGACACACACTCACCCACTCCTGGTTTCATGTTTAGTGAGACAATGTTTTTCAAGGTTTTTAGAAGTAATTACTTTCAGTACAATAGATTACATTTAGATTGGTTTTCATCAATGAGAAATCAAATGACAGATGTAAATATTGCAGAGGCTTAGGAAGTTATTACCAGGGTGATTTTAATTATTTACATTAGAAATCACTTCTGTAGCCAGTACTACCCCACTTCATGTATCTGACAATACTTCAACCTCACTCCAATTTTAACTGTTTTTGGTTTTTTTCCAGAATTTAGCTTACGAAATCATTCTTACACTAGGACAAGCATTTGAGGTGGCCTATCAGCTTGCACTACAAGCACGGAAAGGGGGCCATTCTTCAACCCTCCCAGAAAGCTTTGAAAACAAACCCTCCAAACCTATTCCCAAACCACGTGTTAGTATTCGGAAGTCAGTGGTAAGTAGAAGGCAGTTGTGCATGCAAAAAATGAAATTCAGCTATACAGTTAAGAGTTGATACACTAGAAGCCGTATAAATAAATATACCTCTCGAGTCAGAAACGCTCCGTGTCTCAGTCGTGCCACCTCTGCTCATCAGCCGGTATAAGTAAGTTGTGTCTCTGCAGCATGGGCAGCCGTTTCGAACAACTGCTCATTTCAGATTCCTCCAGTTTAAGAAGTTGCTTGGCTAGTGTTGTGCATATATCTTTTATAGTAATTGCAGAGCTTTAATTGATTCGGTCTAAATCCAGGTTTTAAGTGCTGAGGATCACAGCCAATGCAGACCTCTAAAACTCTGCAGTTCCATGGACTTTCCTGATCTCCTGTTGAGAAATAAAATCCCCACCAAACTTCTTTGGTACACAATCACTACATATGTATACCAATCAAATTACAAATCCAAATCAATTTACAATTGTCTTGTCATGCCAAGCAACTTCTTTTCTTACCTCCCCTTTTTTTTTTTTTCTGACCCTCAGCAGACCCTCCTGGTCTAAAACTGGGATTCAATATTTTCTTTGGAATCTCAAATGCCTTAGAATCCAAGCTCATTGGAACTTACATATTGACTGTCTTTAAAGTGCCCTCCTGAAGTGCATAGGTGACAGAGAAATACTCTTTTATGGTAGAGGTTTTAAAAAAATTATGAAAACTATTTTAAAACAAGTGATCTGGGAGGGAAAGGGGAAAAATGACTGCACACTGTATCATATTCACTGGCTATAAAGTGAGAGCCATGCTCTGTGATATTTAATTCTTGGATGAGAGGAAGGGGAAAAAAATGTATGACTGTACACTTTGTCATCCATTGCCACAGAATCTTCCTCCATAAAATTTTAAGCAAGAACATTTCCTGATGCCATCGTCTGTCTCGGTAGCAAAAGGACTTCGTAAGATCAAGGATGGCTTTAACGAACTATGATGCCCTATAGCTTGGGGGTGGACACAGCTCTGATCTAAACCGCAAAAAGAGGGCAACCGTGGGTACGTGGGAGCGTAGACCGCCGCACTCGCTGCTGTAGGACGTTGTCGATACAGGATGTGTTCTGTGTTCTATTCGTTTAAAGAAAAAACTTCTGCTAGCGATGCTGTGCCCAGAGATGGTAACCCGTCTGTATGTTTGCGTTTGTCTTAAAGCAGATAGATCCCTCTGAACAAAAGACTCTGGCGAACCTACCATGGATTGTTGAACCTGGACAAGAAGCCAAAAGAGGCATTAATACCAAGTATGAAACTACCATTTTCTGATACAAAACTGTCCCCCTGTTCCTTGTTGTGCCTTGCACGCCAAGCAGTCACAGCACAGCCTTTCCTTTATGGCAACGTTTCAATCCAGCAGAGAGGAAGACTGCACTGTATATGAGTGGCCTTGTAACTAACAAAAAAGGCTGACGGTCATTTCTGGTGATGTTCTTCTTCCTGCAGCACTGACAGAAGAATGACACTATACGAAGACTTTTCAAATTACAGTCCACAAGAGGAGTGAGAAACCTTATTTTTCACGCAGTTCTCCCTTGTGACTCTGCCACAGTGCTTTCTTTGATTTCTTATTTTAGAATTCTACTTTTTAAGAAAAACAAAAGGTCTCTAAACTAACACTAATGCTGCCTATGAGTAGAATATTTGATTGGTTTTTTATTTAAATCTTGGCAGTTTTTAATTGAAGTAGAACCAGAATTAATAAATAGAGTATTTGTGAAACCACTGAATTCATTAATAATTACTGTGTTGAATAAAGAACTCATTAAAGTGACAAGAAATTAGGCACCCTGATTTCTGTGTGCGCTGGTTTTATATGTAATCATTGGTGTCCTTTGATCCTCTACAGAAATAGGAACCTCTTGCATTGTAACAAAGGATCAGAGTTTTATGAATGGTTAGAAAAAGTTATTAATAATGCACAGAAAACATTTATTAGATATTTTTATGGAAGAGAAGTACTATAGGAAAACATATGAATATTTATGGAAGGAAGCCAGATTAATTATGACAAATAGTGTTTATTTTAAAGTTAAGTAAACCACTGCTATTGCAGCATTATGGAAATTATGAGAGTTGTAGCATCAGTGCACTGGATGTTCTGTGTGATCAGTCTGGAATGAAAGTGGAATGGTCATTCTACTACACCTACATACAGTTTATGCAGTTCAGCATTGCTATAGCCATGAATTCTAATAGTATTTTTAAAAAATAATCTCAGTGGTTCTAAAAAAAGTCAAAACCATGGATTTTGCTATCAAGATTTCTGTCACAGAAAGCTTGTTTGGAAGAGTGTTGATAAAATTCTACTGCAAAACATTTTCTAAATAAAAATAGTGAGAAAAAGAAAAAAATTCCAAAGTAATAAAAATGTTTTCATGGAACAAAATAGTTAAGCATTTGCTTAAGATTTGATTAAATAAGATTTACTTACATTTTCTTTGAAGTGTTTTAATTTTTTTAATGTCTGTGGAGTATTTGTATAATACCATGATGTATATTTATGTAGAACTGAAATTATAACAGTACAAATATCACTATAGGAGAAAAATGACATTTTAACGTATATTGTTCTATCCAGTCAAATTGTGAATCATTTTGAAGTTCATTATAGAGATATTGATAAATTGTGTGGTTGTCTTAATGTTTTTTTTAATTATTATTTCATATCCAGCTGAGGTTTTCAGTTAGAATCATCAGTTGGTAAATTCCAAAAAAATGGATAATTGAACTTGGTTTAAACCTGATAATTGTATATGGTTCAGTTAAACCTAATCATAGCGCTGAGTGATGACATACTTTTAATACAGTATTCAATTTACTTGAACAAAATAGTTCCTTGTACATATTTTTGCCTATTCACTGTTGATATGTACGTAGTCAACTGACAGTAAAAAAATAACACTAAAAATATGGTACCAAAAGGAAAATTGTATAGGAGAACAGTAAATAGTAGCCTCACTGCAACAAATACTTATGTAAATATGCTTGGGCTTCCAGTTATAAATTTTGTAATTTTGTCATTTATTTATATCCTATAAAAGCACACAAAATAAAATGAAGTTGTACAGTCCCAGTGCTTTGTGCATCCTTTTATCACTGCTAAAGGAAATAAGGGGCCTGATCCAAAGGATATGGAAATCAGTGAAGGGTCCTCCCCTCCCCTTTCCCCGAGTTCACTGGGCTTTGGATCTTGTCCCACACAAACCCAGGCACTGCTGTGGAGACAGTTTTGGTTTCAAATACAGATTTTGTTTACAGATGGTGAATACTTTAAAGTCCTTAATTAACTGGTTCTTCAGGGCACTACTGATCTGCTGACCTCCCGTATTTAATCGCACCCTGTAAAGACTCGCACAGGGAGTTACGGTAAAACACGTTCACTTCAGGCACCAAAAGTACAAAGTGGCCAGATTTTCAGGCCATAAAACTGGGGCACCTCTTCTGTAGCTCAGTGACCTCTAAAATTAAAGGATGAGACAGGAGCCGCAGCACAACTCAAAGCAGATGTAAGGAAAAGGAGTGAAACAACGGGAAGAATGGGCAACTTGCAGGAAGAATTTGATCTAGGTTCATCAAAGAGATGTCAAGCAGGTAAGGCAGCACAATAAGCAGCTGAACTTGTTTGGCAGAGATAATTGGGGCAAAAGAGACTGAGGATGGCTAGCAAGACTGATGAAAGAGGAGACAGGTGGGGCAGGGAGTGAGTGTGAAAAGTTTTGGGACACGATGGGGCAGTGAACAATTGGAGACCCCACAGCAGACATAAATTGAAAGTGTAAGGAGAAATAAAAATTAACAGGCATAAGGCACTTCTGTATTTGCAGAAACCTGGGATTTTGGAGGGAAACGTTTCCCTCACTAACTGATACTCGTGTAAGCCAGTTGGAGAGAAGTCCATGGGGTCCGCCCTGGCATGGGACAGTGGTTCAGCATTCCTTTCGTCAGGTCCAAAGAGACTTCTACAAACCTGCACTAACCCAAAGCAGGTACCACTTGATCTTTAGTCCTTTTTGGTCAAGGTGACTTTCCATTCAAGTTCCTAGTATGCTGGAAGTGTATATGCAATAGGGGACAACGGTCAGTCTTAAAAGTGAAGGTAGGGAAAAACCCAGACACCTCCAAAAGATCAGAAAGTGAGCAAAATTGCTATTCTTGACCTCTACTCAAAGTAAGAGGGAAGCAGGGGCAGTCAAGGAGAGTATGTGAAGAAATTGGAGCATTTGGATGTTACAAAACCAGGAGTTAATTGCAACAACTGCCTTACAGTGGGAGGGTGGATAACGGGCAAAAGAAGAGAGATGATATGGGAGTAGATTGCATTTGACATGAGAAGATAAGGAAATTGGAATCCAAGTGAAGTAAGTGTGGGTGACAAAGGATTTTGAGAATTATTTGGGTAGTGAGCTCTCTAATAATGCAAGGTAAAAAAAGCTGCTGCTGGGAGAAGGCTTAAAGACTGGAGAAACTCCTGAGGAAAACAACGGGGAAATTCTGTGTGGTGGAGGTGGAGGGTTTCCTAAAGCAGACGTTGCATTTCAGACTGGACATGGTGACTCCTCCAACCTGGCCTGCTGTTTATTAAAAGCCAGAGGAGCTACTGCCTGCAGCTGGCAGGAGGAGACACTCAGCATGTCTGGTTCTGGTATTGTGCCAGGAAGTTTATGAGAGGCTGCTTCTCCAGCAGAACCTCAGATGTTCCACATGCCCTGCAGCTTGAAGCCAACATCTCAGCATCAAAAACTGGCATGGCCATGAAGTGGTGACCGTTGGGAAGAGAATTAGCAGGTCATGAAGGAGGTTGTGTCAGTCCTTTGGAAAAGAAAGCAGCATGCTAGACAACTAATAAACTTTCACATCCCACTGTGAAATAGTTCATAGCTTCCATTCTAGATCAAACCAGGCAGTTTGTGCCACGTGCAGAACTCTTATTTAATTTTGCCCTAGATTCTTTCAATTGTGTGCTGTTCAGCTGTCCCACTTCACTGGAGGATGATAGGTCTAGGATGTCATCAAGACAACAGTCTAGAAATAGTAACTTCAACTGTCTCCAAAGTACCAGCCCAAAGAGCAATTGACTCTACGGAGGAACAGTGTGGCAGTGATGAGCGTGTAAGTGAAAGACCTGGCATAAGGATTAGAGACAATATTTAGGTGTGGGCACTTATCCAAGAGGGATATCCGTTATCTCATGTAAAAAGACCAGCTGAAGAGAGTGGGAGAAAAAAGGACTCTGGCTGGAAATATTGATGGGATTTTCAGCTCACTGGAAAGCACAGGGGGATAACACTTAAGCTGCTGCTGAAAAGCTCTGTTAACTGTTCAGAGCTCTATAACTTCTTTAGGTGAACCAACTTCTTTGCTAAACTAGCACACTGACCATACTGCTATCGAGTCCACCCTTGAATACACTGGTTCTAGTTAACTTTCACACCTGCGAGCTGATAACCCAAGCTAGTCCGAGGCTGACCACAAGCCCAGCTAACAGACAAACGTACAAGACTCACTTGCAGCCAGAGTTCACACTAGGACGTAGATTTTGTGGAACTGGTGGATGATTTCCTTCCTACTGACTAGACAGTCACACTCATCCTCGTTACGATCCTGAACGCAACCAGCCCACACACGGCTGTCCTACTGAAGAGGCAGAAAAGGGAAATGAGGGAAATGGCCTACGGTCCTTGCCTTTCAGGAAGGGTATGCTCCAAATGCCAGAATGGGAAACAGCATCTCCCTGCCTGGCTCCCGCTCTTACACAATACCGCAAGGAAATTTCTCTTCAGTCCTACCTAACATTTTACATGCATTTGGTAGTGCCACATCCTTCACCTTTCCGCTGTGGAGGTCAGGTACCTAGATATCTGTGAGAATGTGGGTCTCGGTAAAGTGGTAACGACAAGGGGGACAAAAATGCTATCGTTATGTAAATGAAACAAAATTCTCTCCCTCCCCTCTTGCCACCAAGAGCTTGGAAAAGAAAACTACTTTTTCTATCAATCAAGAAAGCGGAATTCAAAACACTTTGCAATCACATAAGAAAAAGTGAAGCTTAGACAGAAACTGAGGGCCTTAGACTACTTCTTCACACACAGAAAATGTACACAGATTTAACATCATAAGCTCACTTAATTGTAAGACACATGTCTTTTTGTCATTTTTTTTAAACATGGCAATTCCTACCTTCAAGTCGTTAGAAGAACTGCTCAAATTCTCCAGGTCCTTATCGAAAGCTGAATTTATTCCAATATTAAATCCTTTTAAAAAACAAAATGAAAAATTCACACACAATGTTAAGGATGGTCAATGCTTGAGAGAACATGTCCAAATTTGAAGGCAGTATATTTGTTGTCATCTTTTCTAAACATGTAATAGAAAACCCAGAAAGTCGGAGACAAAGGAAATGGAAATATGCTCCAGTATAGAGAATACCCAAAGAGCATTAACTTTATCCTATAGTGACACCATGAGGAAAAAAGAAATAGACTACACAAATTTAAAAAATGCATTAGATGCAGTGCGGTCTTCGTTCTTCTGCTTGTGATTATTGGATAATGATAATTGATAGGTTGCCAAATCAAGGGCTTGGGCATGTCCTAAGCAAAAATATCTTATGTATATAATTGAGGCTAGCACTACTTATTTCTTGAGTTTATGTAGCAAAGAAGATTAATATTTTTTTCGTTAAGTTAGCCTTATGTACTTACATTGTTATATACTGCCTGGAAGGTATCAGTGACGGATCAGATAAACAATTCTGCACTGGAATTGAGTGAATCTACTGAAACCTCCAAGTATCTGGGAACGCTGTGCACGAGTGGAGGTTAATATGAAAAGATGTTAGGTCATTCACCACGGCCATTTCTCTGTCACAGCCATTACATTTCACTCAGCTATATTTTGTACAGCTTCAAGAATTACCTACGCCAAATACCTCAAACCTAGAAAATTAAACCGATTGCTACAAGAAGTAAAGAAAAGAAACTACTGAAGTGCCATCATTATCCCCAGCCCCTGACATGGCAGGAAAGCCCTTAGTGAGAAGTACCCAAGTAATTCCATCTGGTGATAACGCATAGCCTGCACCCTATACTACAAAAAAAAGAGGGGGGAAGCTATCCCTGCCAATCTGACTTTGGGGAAATCTGTTTCCCAACCAGCAGTCTAGTCATTACGTGATGCAGTCTGCAAGGAAACTGCACTAGGAAAACAAAAAGATGAATGAATACCTGTCGCACCTGAAGGCACAGCTCACCTGTGTTCAAAACTGCACTTCCTAAAGTGGCCAATCTCAAAGGAAGGTGAAAAGATGTACTGTATAATTTGGCCTTTACAAGACTGAAGTTTTTTCTGATCCACAGATGACCAACAAAAACCCGGAATCTTGGTATTTCATTACAATCGCTTTCCTAGCACAGACTATGCAGACCTGAGACAAGGAACTTTATCAGAGGGTCTCTTAAGTTCCTTTCTGTATCTATTTTTAGGTGAGACATGCAGAGCAAGGGAATAGAGATCTTAGCTTTATAATAATCCATAACATTTGAAGCATATGAGCAGCTGGGAGCATTTAAGTAGAGACTGAGTATTTTTGAGATGTTTGTTTAGACTCAGTTTTGTGTAGAGAAGTAGAAATTAAGAATTCCCTTGCTTTACATGATTTTCCAAGGTGGTTTTTTTTCTTCCAGCCAATAGACCTTGTTATTCTTTTGTCAGCAAGGCTGAAATGTCCTGCCTCTTTCCCACACCTCACTAACAGGTGACTTCTCAGCCATCTCTCCAATTCAACAAAACAAATTCAACTCAAACTTTACACTGCAAGACTTTGGCCCGGCCCATGGATCGCTTTTTGTGGTCCTCTTCTAAATTTTGGTTGAATCCATTTTGTCCCTGAAATACAAATACCGGAGCTATAGGCACTACTCCAGCTGATGTCTTATTAATGAAGCACATAGATCACTTCCTCACTCCTTCACGACAGACCCTCTTTATGTGCCCACAAGCCCTGTTTACGTACCACTGCAGACGCTTTGGAGTTTGTGTGGATGACACCATCCACTTGTGATTCCACACCACCATTTTCAAGGTGGTCTCACTGGCATTCTTCAGTCTACTACATATGACAAAGCTATACTTTGTCCATAAGGTAACAAAAACATGGTGTTGGATGTTGAAAGCAGGCACACATCATATTGTGATAGCTACTTATTCTTGCAATTCAGTCTTTAGCCAATTTATATCATCTGCAGTGTTATCATCAAAGGTTTTATAGATCATGGACAAATGATCAAACAAATCCCTATCAGTTGCTCCTATACTTTACTTTGTAATTTGTAAATTACACTCTAAAGTATCATAAACATCTAATATATTTATCTGTGTTTCACTGCAGCTTCTACACCTCTTTTTAAGGGATGTCACGTAAGATAGCATCTCATTCAGCGGGTTTTGTGGTGGTTTCTTTTTTTTTTTCCTCTCACATCTGCAGAACTGTGACTCCTTGGACGACTTTCAATGATTCCGAGCTTTAACACATCCTACATTACATCTCTGTTCCCAGCGATGCCAAAAATTGTTTTGCTGGAATGATTCCAAACCTGTAACTCCCTTATCCGTTATACACGGATTATGCAAGCAGAGTACAATCAGTGACACCTGGAAAACTGCTAATTTTTACACTTTGAATTTGATTTCATCATTTGATTTCATAATAAAGATTTCATAAAGGTTTGCTTTTAAAGAACGTCTCTGCTGATCCAAAGCCAAGTGTGTGGGTGTTTTTCATCTCGCTGTAGTTGATTTAACTTGTAAAAAGGAGACTTAACTTCCTCTCTATATTTTCTTTCAATTACATAAACATTCCTGTGAGCAAGTCAGTAAGAACTTATGACAGATTTAGAGCTGCCTGGTGATAATTTATGAGTACTTTATGTTGGCCTGATTACCAAAATGTTTGTTATATGGCTTCACTTGTTTAATGCAGCAAGAATCTGTCGGGAAAAACAACTCTGAAAGGGAAGGATAGATTAAGGTACCCAGTTTTCAATCTCTACTCGGTTCTTAAGGAAAAATGCCAGAATTAGTTGAATATCTTCTTCAAAATAGCCTCTAAAACTGGCTTAGAGGAAGAAAAAGCAAGTCCAAGAATCTGCAAGAGCAAAACTTGTATTTCAAATGGAAAGCAAAAAGCACTTAACTGTTAAAAAAAGTACTGCTTCTGTCAGCCACTGCACAAACACCACCGTCACAGTTACACCTTTAACATGCCACTGCTACTGGATTATCTGTGCTACTGATGTCTGACTGCAGTCACTTAAATTTTGCCTTTCCTTCCTCTGGGGAAGAATTTTTGCAGTCCTCCCATTCAGACCAAGTCAGTCCTTGGGTTACGATGCCTAATTCAGCTGTTCTCGCTTTGAAGTTTTGACTGTGTTTAGGAACTTCCAATATTTCCCTTCAAGGACTCTCAACAGCCATGAATGGACGTCACCTTAGAAACAGCAAAAAATCTCTCGGTGTGGTCATTTCAATAGGGAAAACCACTTCGTTAGAACTCAAAAGTTGCACAAAACACATTCAAACCAGAAGACACCCAAGCTCAAAGCCCCTCACTACTTGTCATAGTTATCAATTCCAATTTAGATATCCAAACTTTGCTTTTGTGAGAAAGAAGAATATATCAAAGTTAAGACCTCTTGTATTTGCTGCTAACTGCTCAGAGTATTCACTGTGATCAAATTCTCATTTTCCAGATAGGTTCCTGCTTAACAAAACAAACACACAGACAGATACATAGTATTATCCTAAAATGATTTCTAACCCATGACAGAACTCAAATAAGGAGCAAAATAAGTAATGGAGTAATGGAGGTACAAGCTGCATGAGCTGGAGGCACTGTGGTTTAATTTTTGAAAAGCAGAAAATGTAATGTGTATGCAAACTAATACTAAAAAAATATAGGAAGGATTATCGTTTTCAGAGAAGGTGATCTTAATTTCCTAGATTCATTTTAGCAAAAAAAAGCAGTATGATGCATAATACACTTAGCTAACAGCTTGTTAAAGATCATTCTTTTTTTTCCACTAATACATGCTGAAGAAACCAGAAAGATCCAGAACACAAACTGAGAAAATGCTCCATTCCACAAAGCCGTTTTGTGATAAAAGAAAGGAGAGTGAAGTACAACATCGTTCCAGCAAATCTTCCCCTAACATTACTGATACTGGAACCCTGAACAGTGGAAACCCCCCTTGAAAGCAGGTTAGCAACAGGAACTGAGGACTAAATATGAGATGTAATGAGGGGTAAAGCAGCTTGAGAAACTGCAAAGTGTAAAGAGCTCTACAGCTAGTAGAGGTGTAAGAGGAAAAATAGACCATAACTTCAAAGAATGGACTTTTTTCCATGTCTAACATAACCAAAAGTTTAACCCTTTGAACAAAGATATTTCTGGAAAAAGGAGATAAAACAATCAAATTGGTAGGCTTTTAGCTTATTGACATCTACCGTGTTTAATATATTTTTAACCAAATTTAAATGCTCAGGATATGCTATGGAGAAAATTCCAGGTCATATGTAGTTCAGTTGAACTGTACCTGTCTCTGACAGGTATTCACTGCTACCATCTTGCAGTGAAAAACTATTCTTCCACAGATTCAGTTTGGCCACTTACCGTTCTTTTTGAATGAACGTGTACCCAGAAGATGTACCTCAAACCCAGTGCTCCAGATTATGAAAATCCAGCTGCTGAGTCAGAACAGCAATTTAATAGCTGATACTGTAGAAAGAAAAAAAATTACTATCTGCTCTATAATTTTTAGAGTGGACAAAACCACAACTGTTTGGCTTTGAGAAACTGAGAGTGCAACATCTGCAAGATGTTAAAAATATTTCTTTAAATGCTTTGAAAATTCAGATGCACTCAGATGACCTCTTTTCATGCTACTGTTAAATATATACTCAAATAGAGGTAAAATTTAACCAACATTTAATATGTTCAAACTCTTTAAAATGTTCCTCCTCACATTTCTCAGTTCTGAAGTTTAAGTCACATATTGATAAGACCCCTTCCACACAACTTCTTCAGTCTCCTTTGTACAGGTGGAAGTATAAAACCCATAACTGCTATCCTGTACTGAGTATGTGTACAGCACATTGTAAGAAATCATGCAAATACATTGAGAAATTTAGGAGCTACCAACTTGCATAAGTATATCTTACATTACCGTCTAGGTGCTGAGTGCTTAACCATCAAGACATGACTATCGGCTTCAGGTTGGATTCTTTAAAGCAAAATGTTTGATCCGTGTTTAGAGACAGATTTTCACTGACCTATGCCTATGTCTGTTCATTCATCTATTCTCTACTAAAATACCCCCCCCCCCCCAAAAAAACCATAAAAAACCCCAAACCCACACCACAAACCAAGAAGTGTTAAAAAGACAAAACTAAGTATTTCCAAATCTCACATTGAAAATACAACATTCCTCTCATGCATTATTGCAATGCTGTTAAACCAAAAGTATATTTTCTGCTAAGGAGCTTATAAACAACAACCAATACTGATCATAGTATTAAAAGATGAATTTAAGTGGTTCTAACTGGGAAGCACAGAAAGAAATATCCCTGCCATTGTTTCTCTGGGACCATAAAACTTGCTCTCAGGACACGACAAGACTAAGATTTCTCAGCACTGGAATACGAGTTTGAACCAGCAGGCTACAAAGTCTTAATGCACATAAAGCTGAACATTGACTCTAGTGAGGAAGAGGAGTATGGACAGTTGTTATTATTATCTTTGGAGAATATTACAGACAAATAATGTGATTTTTAGAACTACAGGAAAACTCTGCTCTCATTTGCTAGAAAATACTGGTTATCTAAAGAAGTGAAATTTGCCATAGAGAACAAATATACAGAGAACAATTAAAAGAGCCTATTGCTTTAGAAACGCAAGTAATGCAAAATACCTTTTTTTAAGTTATTTTAAATGTTAAGCACACTTTGTGTGCATTTATGCATTAGAAATAACATGAGCTTTATCTAAACAGCATCGTATTTACTTTTACACAGCTGGATTGGGTAAATTTGTCTTTGCCTCATTTTGAGTAATTTTAAACATCATGATTTTCAAAGTTCACCTGAGTTCATATGTTATTAGAGAAACTGGACAAAGCTAAAAAAAAAAAAAAAAAGAGGGACACAAATAAACTGAAAGAAGTAAATAGAGGAAATGAAAAATACCACACACATAAACACACAGAGTCTAATAGTGGCATCCTATGTAAGTACTAAGATGATCCCTCTTGAGTACAGAACAAGAATCCTCTCTAGCCTGAAGGACTTGAATCTAACCGTCCTTGGAGCACATGTTATACATACAACGTATGGTTTGTTAAATGGAAACAAGCACAGGAAGCTAATTTGTTCTGTTAACAGTCAGGCCCCAAGAGAGAAACTGCCTACTGAAACACTTAGAAGATACTTTAGCTTTCTCATCCTGAATAAACACACACACAGAGTTCAACTAGCCCAACTATCACACAGTTGTGCTATGTCCCACGAGTGTGACTGTAGGAGATGATATAGAAAGTGCTGAAGTTGTCAATAACACAACCAGACTGAAAATCTTACTCCTTTATACTCACTGGATCTTTTAGAATGCACCCTAACAGCCCAGCTTAGGCATCTGTTAAACCCAGTTGCAAGGTTTCTCATAAAAAGTCCCCTTAGAAGAAAGGTGTGCAGTAAGTTAATATGGAAAAAAAACCCTCCAAACCCAAGAAAACCCAACACGCCTCCTCCAAACCCACAGCTCTACACCCGCCCCCCCCCAAAACCAAACCCACTCCAACATGCAAAGACGTGGATAGCAGCACACTGCACAGCAGCTTTGGAAGTGCTGAAAAATAGAGGTCAACCTACTGCAGAGTTCATGCCACAGACAAGCCTAGTCTCAGCTTAACATCTTCTTGCATATCAGCAGAGCTAGTGATTGTGTCCCACCGTTCCTAGCTTGAAAGAGCAAAGTGAATTGAGCACAAAAATCACACAGAAAATGTTCTAGCTATCTGGCACACTGCCTGTTCTCTATTTGGCCTCTGCTCTTGAAATCACAACAAAAATAAGGTGGCCAGAGCTCTTGGGCATCATCATCACCATCTATGAGCCCAAATAAATTTGTGTCTTCATAGCAGACAGAAGGAAGAGGAAAGCAAAATGCGGACAAACACACCAGAGTGTGCTATCAGAGGGAAACACCAGAAATCATCTCAGCTCCAAGGCTGACTTCTGTGCCCCCCCAGCACTGCCATGGCATCTGTACTTGCTACAAAGGAGAAAGGGCAACCAAACAGTTTGGTAGGGGGGTCATGTTCTACTGGCAAGTGCAAGAACATACCTGATTTCTCTGTGACCTACTGGTATTCTGGATTTACTGGCTTCTTGAAGATGGGGCAGAGGGGCCTCCCTGCAATGTTCTGTCCCAGGAGGGCAGAAGAAACCACCCGAGTCAGACTGCTTTCTCAGCCTGGCTTTCCCCTGAAACCTGCAAAAAGCATCAGCTTCTGTAAAAGACCTCAGGAGCGCAGAGACAAGGACACAGATAACCAGATACAACCTGGGGAAATGGGTCCCTTACAGAGACTTCACTAAATAAAAAATTGGGGAGGAAAAAAAAAAGCAAGCAATTTACACAGCATTCTGTAATAGGGAGTTTAACTGCATCATTTTCTAGGGAAGGTAGAATAATTTTGGGGTGGAGAGTGTTCCTCTACTGGCAACAGGTTACCAGTTCCAGCTCTACCCACACACTCCAGCACTACAAGAGATCTATAAACCTTTACATGGAAAAGCCTCAGGCAATAATGGCACAGTTCCATTTCAAACAGCTATGTAAGATGAGAGGGGGAAAAGGACACTGTAGTTAAAGGAATGGTACAGTTCAAGGCAATATAAAGCAACCTCTTGAGCAGCTGTATTGCATGTAAGTACAATTCCTTGTTAATAAAGGAAAGAGAAAAAAGATTTATGAAGGGGCTGTAGGTCTAATTGCCAAAGTGAAGACACTCAAAACTTATACAGAAACTGACAGGCATCGTTCATAGGAAGTGTACCTAAAAATTGTTTACACAAAAGCATATTATAATTTCAGTTAAAGTACTAGATAAAAATTGGCAATGCTCATTAGTTAAATCTGAATGCAGACTGATTCAATTTGATCTGAATTACAAGAGATCATGGAAGCACTAATGTTCAATCTACATAAAAATTGCTTCTGGCCAAACCTTCTCTTGTTTCCTTTAAAATACATCTAACATCAAAGAGAACAGCTAAATCTAATGAAACAGCAGGACTTTATTTTTTATTACAGTAAACTGCCTTAACCTTCTTAAATATTCTAAACTGAAGAAGTTGCTGACTCAGTTGGCCCCTATTTTAACAATTTCTCATTTAAAACTTGTCATCCTCTTCCTGCAAATCGTATCTATTCTTCAGCTCTTCAGACTTTCTCATTGCTATTTCTCTTCTTCCACCTCAGCTACAAAGACTTACAGCCCACTCCATACATTTGCACATGAACGCAACCATCCTGACTCTGTTAACACTACCTTCTATGAAGCACAGCTTCCTCAGTTCCAGCAACAAGTATAATGCTGCCGTGTTGTAATTCTTGCAGAAGAATTCAAGAATGCACTATTTATCTCACACTTCAAGCTTCTGTGCTACTTGCTTCCTACTCGCTTCAAAATTGAAATCGTCTATGAACTCCACTCATACACCATTCACTTTCTTTGTTAAACCATGATTGGTTTTTCCTATCATCAGAGTTTCATTAGCATTGTCACAAAAGACAACTTTCTGTCCTAGCTCCTCACGCGAAACATTTATCCTGTTACCTTTTTACCTCATTGGGTCTCTGAGTTCAGCCCGACACAGTCCTGTACAATAAGGACAGCACAGCCTACGTAATCAAGGGACGCTGGCTAAGTGGAGCTTCCTGCTCCTTGAATCTTCAGCTATTCGGGGAGGGAACTGATGAGGTCTGTCCAAACTAGACAGTAGAAGCAAATCTGTCCCGAACGTTGCAGGATGTGTTCCAAGACTTCAGTTTCCCTTTGTCCACTTTTTCCTCTGTCCTCGTATTTAATACTGTTGCTTACCTGCCAAAGTATTTTTTGATGTAGGTTGTAAAGCATCATTATGTTTAGATTGAAAATAAAACCACAATAAAAGAGGCATCGCTCCCCCTCCCTCCTACCCTATTAAAAACAAACAAACAAAAAACCCAAACAACACTTAGGAATTCAAATTAATTTACAACTTGGCCAATATTGTCTGGATTATCTTTATTGAATCCTGTAAATACTTAGAATACAAAACATCATGTTTTTTCTATTGAACTTCTTCTCTTTAAATTTCTGCCAGCAGTACTTTAATTATACTGACCCGTATTCAGTAGCACCTTAGAAATGGTGGAATTTTAAGTTAAAAAAGAGGAAAAACTGGTGATTGTCAAAGCCAGGAAAATACTAAGAATGTATATTAAATCTTCTGAAATGCACACACAAAAAATAATAAAAGTGAGAATTTCATTGTTCAGTACCAGTTGAGACACTTTCTAATGTACTTTTTACAATCAAGTACTTAGATAGTGTTCTACTGCCAACTACAAAGATATGAAAATCATATTAATGCTTGTGCAGTTGCTCATAGCAGTTGAGAGACAATTTACTAAACAAGGTTACTAGGCACCTAAGAAAAATTGTTATCTAATTATTCGCAAAAGATATGTCAAGTATAATTAGTACAAAACGTCAACATTTCTACCCTATATTGAATCTATAAATAGACTGTAAAAAAAAAAACCCAAAAAACAAAACACCAACCCAAACAAAACCCCAGAAAATCACATAAGGAAATCACATATTACCAGGCAAGAGATCCCTGTGCATAGAATCCCATGTAAACAAAGCTGACAACAGTAAAATGTCTCCATAGTATGAACTGAATGCTAATTCTGAAAGGCAAAATAACTAAAATTCACACCTCCTATATTTTTCAATATATACCTTTTAAACCATTTCCATTCTCAGTTTAGCTGGTTAGCTGTATTCACCCTTTGACTGGAAATGCAGCACAATCTCTTCCATTCAAATTGTAATATCCTTTCAGATTTTGCCTTGAGAACACAAGACTCAGGGTGTTCCCCTTAATAGGAATAGCTCATATGTGTTACAATGCACTTTATCTCCACAAGGTTAGAAGCATGAAGGTTCTTACCACAAGTGGGAAGCACTGCTGCTGTAAACTGAACAGCTACTTGATTTGTTTTGAACGTCAAGCACCAAGATAGCTAGTTTCATTTTTCAAATGAAGGATGTCCCTGGTTCTTTCCATTCTGTACTAAATGAAAATCCTTACATCACAGTAAAAAAAAAAATTTTTTTGCATCTTACACAGTTGTGTTCATGGCTAGAGAGCATTTAGCCATCAGACTTAGCACAAAATACAATTTCAAAGTATTAGATTCCTAGTATTTTTTCACTATTAATATTAACGTCAACTCATTTGAATAATCTTAATATAAATTTCCTTACAAAATTGGAAGCAACATACTTAAGATGCAAATCAAGACTTAAGAATTATAATAATAATTCTTATTAAAAACCAGATTAAATGCAAGTTCATTTGAAAAAACATGCATAAATGTACATTAATATACCTGAAAACATCATGAATACAACAATGAAATATAATTCACAGCTTAGTGAGTGTCAGAATCATTTAGCAGAATTTTGTCTCCAGCTTAAAAAAATGAATTATCTTTGCAGTTTTCAGCACATTAATCACAACTTCTGTAATACATAAAGAATACCAAGATTATCAACAGTCACATACACTTTGAAATTAGGGGACACATGTATTGACTTGAGGTTTGTTCCGTTCGTGTAGAAGGTTTGTAAGGATTCTCCAGTAGTTGCATTCCACCACTATAAAAAAAAAAAAAAAAAAAACCAACACACTTTTGGTTAGTTGAAGAAAGCTTAGAATAAATTCTATAAACAGGCTTCGCATGGCAAGCCCAATTGACTGCTTTCCCCAAAGAGGTAGAATGAAAAATAAAAATACAAGCAACCTTAAGTAGTAAATGTTTACTAGAGTGTAAGTTACTAGGATTATAAGACTTTCAGATAAAAAGAAACTTCAAAAAGACTGAAGCTGTTTAATTTCAGGAAAGCACACGAAATAATAAATTCAGGTACTGCCCTTTACCCCATCACAAAATGCAATCAATAGATGTAAACTGTAACATGTCCAAAATATAAAAGATTATGTATTTTTATATAACCAAATACATGAGACATTGCCAGACAATATAATTGAAACTATAGCTGGATTAAAAAAAAACAAACAAAAAACAAAACAACAACTTAGCTGGACTTACAAGAGGATCAATCATGTACACAATTCAAACCATTTGCAGTTTTGTTAGCAGGACAGAGTTTTTTTCAGAGAGATTAAATTTTTTTTTTTCTAGAATATAAACGAAGCACTAATAACAACGCTACAGAGAAACCTTCAACCATCAGTCTACTCCATGAATGTAGACTGAAATTTCACATTTCTCAGGAAAACTGTAGACCAATGCAAAATTGAACCAAACGCAATCCAGCACAAAGCTGTTACTTGATTGTTCCAATAAGAAGTCTACCTTCCATTCTTGCAACATTTGAGTGCAGTAGCAAAATACCAAAACAGATTACCTTCAGCTTTGATCATCTATAAAAGCAGGTGGTGGTACTACTACTTTTTAGCTTACTCATCCCATGAAATATGTAACATTATGGTTGTGTGCACAATACAGATTTGCAACTACACAGCTATAATGTTCTGATTAAAAACATCTTTCCTAAAGTGTCTGTTATTTGATGGAGACCCAGAAAAAAAAAAAAAAACAAACAAACCGAAAACCAGATCTTAATTAGCTCTTGAACCTTTGTTGGTGGGTAAGTGATCAGGTGCTGGGCCAGTGGGTACCACTCACACAGCAAGTTCAACAGTACATAGCTGGATGCACCTCATCTATGAATAAGATGACTCATTTGTTTAAAGGTATCTTCTGTGTAATTCTACAATCCAACCCAGTCCAGTTCTTAGAGGTCCAAACTTCTCAAATGTTTTAGATTTTCACTGACTAGTATCTCCCTACAAAAAAGATGCGTGTATGTCTATGTGTTTTCATGCATATCATACACATCCATCTGCAGATCTTGAAAGAAAAGTAGAAAAACAGTACTTTGAAAAGACATAGTGATTGAATCTGGTCCCAATGACTGGAAAAAGGCAAATGCATACCCATTTCCACGAAGGGCAAAGAAGATGCTGGGAACTGCAGGGCAGTAATCTTCACTCCAGTGTCTGGGATTATTATGGAACAAGATTTCTGGAAGCCATTTCAAGTCACGTGCAGGACAAGAAGCGATCATGAACAACTAGCACAGATTTCCCAAAGGTAAATCATGCTGAACCACCCAACTGACTTCTGTTGACAATAATGGTGGCTCTGCAAATAGCATGGCAAGAGCAGTGGATGTGATTAACCTTGACTTTAGCCAAGCTTTCAACGTCGTCTCCCATGGTCTCCCTAATAGTCAAACTGGAGAGATAAAGACTGATGGGTGGAACACAACATAGGTGACAAGCTGGGCAGACTGCTAGTTTGAAGAGTAGTAGTCAGCAGTTCAGTCACTGTGTGTTGAGCCCCAGCCTAGTACAAGAAGGACACTAACAAACTGGAGTAAATCCAGCACATGGTCGCTGAGATGGCTGGACTCCTAGAACTGATGTTGTAGAACAGAGACAGAGCACTGAATTTGTTTAGCCTGAGGAGAAGGCGGCTAACTGCTGTCTTCAACTACCAAAAAGAGGGTTACAGATGACGGAGTCAGACTCTCCTCTCAGGGCCCAGAGGCACCCTTGCTGGAGTGGGGGACAAAACTTGACGGGGCAAGGCCCTAAGCAACTTTATCTAACTCTACAAACTACTTCTAGCAAGGGGCTGGACTAGATGAGTTCCAGAAGTCCCTAACATCCTAGAGTCATAGAATGCTTTAAGAAGCATCACACCACCATACTGTGTAACCACAAGACAAAATGGGAAGGAAGCTAGAAACAGGACGCATGTCTTGTTCTTTAATATGAAGTGAACGCCAGAAGATGTTTTCAATGCTAAATTAGAAAATTCAATGGTCTCTGTTAAATGGTTACTAACTGACTTCAAAGAATTGGTCTGGTAGCATGTCCAACAGCTAAACACTGACCAACAATCAACTAACCTCCAGCACTCTGTGAGATGAGAACTCCACAACCTGTCATTTCATATACACACACAGTTTCTACTAACAGGTGTTAGCTATCGCATGAGGAAAAAAAACCCCAAACAAAAACCTCATGAGAAATCTGCAATTATGAAGAACCAATTCACAGACTGAAAAACAGATCACCACAATTACAAAGAATCAATTCACAGACTGAAAGACAGATCACCTCTTCCCCTTCCCAAAAAACGTATGCTCAGTAGATGTCTGAACCAATGAAAGACTGATGAAAAGACTGATTTTCTCAGTTTCGACATGCCCTCTTCCAAAGATTACTTATAGAATGTCTTTCAAGGCAGAAAATTATCACTTGCAATTCCTTCTGAGTTTCTATTTATAAAAAAATTTAAAACTCAGTATCTTTAAAAAAAAAAACAACCAAACCAAAAAGCCTGACATAGAGCATTTTTCTGCTCATTATAAAGAACACAATTGCTGCTGAAATCGAGTGGTTATTAAGGCAGACAAAAATTATCGGGATCTTTAATATTAAAGATGTTAATGAAAGATGTTGATAATAAAAATCTGAAGCTAATAAAAATGGAATATATGGAGTCTGAAAACAAACTCTAAGTCTGCAGTCTGAATTCTTAAGAGACCTTTTCAGGGGGCTTTCAGATTTGAGAAGAAAAGTGAAAAGTGCTAGACAGTCATGAAAATGAAGCAGCTTTGTGTTAAGTAAAATGTTTCAGGTTTGTTTCTTCGAATTAGTCTGCACTTTCCTTTAGAATTATGAGGGCATTGTATTTAATTAGGTATGTTAGGATATTTTAGTATTTCATGGCTTACCTTAAGAAAGCCTCCAGATGACACAAGCATTTTACTGTCAGGAGAAAATGAGAGGTCTGTTACCCAACCACCATGTGCTGGTTCTCCTTCGTCAACAGTAACTGGGGAGCAGAAATGAAGTAATGCGCCTGTTAAAATGTCCCAGATCTAAAAGAGAGGGAAGATTATGTATATAAATAAACTGAATGGGGAAAAAAAATCTCAAGTAAGGAAAGCCGAAACATATTTTTCTATATTAGAGGAAAAAAACCTTGTAAATAAGCATTCTACTTGAACTGTCAGTATAATCCAAAAAATGAATTCTCCTCTTAGAACTGTATCATATATGGAAGATTTAGTCACACATACAATTCACTGTAGAATTATTAGTAAATCATGTGAATTGGTTCCTCAGCATTCATGGAACATAAATCCATCAATATGGTTACAAACTACTGTCTCATGTGGCAAACTTTGCTTTTTTCAACTCTCCGATGTTCAACACAATACTAACAAATTAGTCATGCAGAACACAAGCTATGAGAACTCTTCTGTCTGTGAACTGACTACCGATTGAATAATAAAATAAACAGTAAAGTTAAAGCAGTACCCTTATTTCTCCTTTGTCATCTCCAGTGGCCAATAATTTGTTGTTAGGAGAGAAAGCACAGCACCGCACACAGGCTTCATGACTTTTCAGCTCATGAAGAACAGATGAACTTTCAAAGCTCCATATCTAAACAGAAAACATTAAAGATGAGTGAAAAAGATAAGTTCAAAACCAATTATTACTTCTTTCTAAAAAGGCATTAGTATTCAAACATACATAAGACTTTTTGTATATATGCATATACATGTGTGCATTTATGTATGTATTATACTGTAGTCTGTTTTTATTACCTGAATCACCTAAGAATGCATTTGCTACAAATTACTGAAACAACTGCGAGTATATTTTTTTTCTTGGAATATACTCTAACGAAACTGATTTACAAGAAAGTTTAAATCTGTTCATAGAAAAAGGATTCATCAACCAGTTTAAAGCTGTATTTTAAAACTCTAATGGGACAGCCCCAGAATATTAAACAGTTCACTTGCTTCTAAACAGGAACACCAGAACCTATGGACAGCACTTTCACTGGAAGTTTCAGAAATTTTTCTTAAGTTTCCAAATTAAGAATGTTAGGCTATTAACAAATCAATACAGAAAACTAAACAAAGTGTTCTGCACAAACTTGTGCATTAAATGTGCATTTTATTTGTACAGAAGTCACCAGGACAGCCTCAAGTTATGTCCAAGATCAGTTGTGAATGACTGTATAACAGCTTTAGAAACATATTCACGGATACAGGAAATTTAATACTAGAAATACAACAGGATAACTTAAATAATCGCAAGTTACCTCAGAATAAAAAAAATATAGCCTACATTTCAGGACAAATAAGGCATCATTTTTATCTTTGTACAGAAAGCAACCAACCTTTGCAGTTTTGTCAGCAGAAGTAGATGAAAATTTACTACCATCAGGTGAAACAGCACAGGAAAGAACAGCACCTCCATGGCAAGCAAAATCTTTTTCTGTGTTTCCAGTAGTGATATTCCAAACCTACCAAATACACAGGAAAAACAGTTTACTTCTGTAACACTACAAAAAGGTTAAAACACCTGCATCTTACACAACAATATATTAAGAGATAAAACTCAGCTACCTAGTTATAATATGGCCAACATTTTGTTATACTTACTGGTACAGTTAAAATACAAGAAGAGTATAAATGTTAGTAGAAATAGAAAATGCAAAATCGTGTTTTAAAAGTCAGCTTACACTTTAGGATCAACGACAGCCTTTTATTTACCTTAACAGTTCCATCAAATGACCAAGAAAGAAGTTTTGAATTTTCCAGAAGTCCAAAATCCTTGATTGCTTCCTTGTGCCCTCTCAGAAATACACATTCACTCAACTGCCAGTTCCATACCTGATCGTAAAGATGGAATACTTTTTAAAAAAAAAACATTTTAATGGCAAACATAAGTTACAAATGAACTAACTGTTTAATTTTTAAGTCACAGGAATCGTAAAAAGTTCTTATAGAGATGGCAACTACTTAAAAGCTTAGATATATTGAAGATATCCATAGTAGAGATGCTGAAGATTGAGGATGCCACAGTATTTAATAGTCAACCTACGAGAGAGCTCCCTATAATACACACATAATCTGATTTTCAAAGTGAATTTGATGCTTAAAATTCACTGGTAATTTAAAAAGAAAAAGCAAAACAATAATTTTCTAGGCACCCCAGAAGTTTTGTGTTTTAAACCTTTGATTATTGCAACAAATAAACTTCCGTCATCTGGCAGACCTCATATTTTCCATACTTAAATTGGCTTTCCTTTTTATTTTTAAAGCATATTTTTAATGAAATGACATTTTGCTTTGCATTTCTATATCAAAATGACACTTCTATTTTTAATTCAACTCTTCACTGAAAACTGAAGAAGTGTAATTTTATTTTACAGAAGCTATTAAGCATCAATTTAATTTAAATGACAATGATTTAATAGTTTTCAAATTAACAGGTTTTCTGCATCAAAGAAAGGACAGAAAGCAGAGTTGTTCAGATGACAGTTCTGCAGGTTTAACTGAGGTGCTGTCCACTAGAGCGAGCCGAGGACCCAGAAGAAAAGCTACCCACGTTAGACCTGAAAGAAGGATCAAAAAGCCGATAAACTGGTGAGCTGTCTGTACTGCTTAACTGACCAGTGACGGCACTCAAGCTAGCTTCAGATCGAAACAAACACCAAAGCGGGATGCTGCATAGGTTACATGTATATCAGCAAGTAGGTAGAACACTGGTGTCAGAACAGATTTGGTGAGCAAAACAGCGCTGAGGACCAGCACTCATTCGTGTTTTGGAGGTTTTACTTCAAACCAGCTCAAGTTTGGTTGTGTGGGCTGAATGCTCATTAGTAGCTGGAGCATGTGCTCTACTTTAGGAATCCCGTCAGCACGCCTGCAACTGCTCTGCAGTGCAAACTAAAGCACAGTAAGCATAAATGACCAGGACATTCACTTCAAAAGTGCATCCCTGAGCTGAGCTAAAATGCTCATATAGACACACCAGCATGCTTCTTCAGAGCAAATCTACCTTGCTGAGAGGCAGAGCTTATTAATTTGAGACCACATTAGTGCAGCCATTCTATTTCTAGCTAGTATCTGTATTCAGCACTGTACTGGACTAGGTGGACACACTAGCCCTCTCAGAGACAGGTCTCTACCTCCTTCCTTCAGACACTATAAGCAAGCCCACTGACAGACCTACCACATATAGCCAGTTCTGGGTCGCGTCCCGAACCCTTCACTTATGTCTTCAGAACTGTTGAGTTATCTGGTTTGAAAATTAATATTCCTTTCACCCATCTTAAAGGAGTTGTTGCCTTTCTACCATGAACAGCATTAAAAATGGAAGTTGTGTAATATTGGTTATCATATAAGGTAAAAATAGAGGCTACAGTTTCTACAGTCCCTTGCCCCATGATAGAGCAATACAAAATACAGTAGTCATTTACTGAGTTTACATTATCTATAGTTTAAGAGATCTTTTTAAATAAATTATAAATAAATTACAAGATAATCTTTTTAAATATCTTCCAAACCTGTATAACTGAATCATGAGCACTTGAAATGAGAGTCTGACCATCAGAGGTAAATCGACAATGCTGCACGGATGTCCTGTAGGCCTCCTGGGACTTCAGAACTTTCCCATCCAACAACTGTAATACCTTTACAATGAAGAATACAATAATTATATTTATTTTACATACTTGAGGAAAAGGAAGAAAAGAACATGCAAATTCTTTTTTAAAGAACATGAGATTGTAAATACATCATTCTCAGTCAATGGATTGGAACAACCAAAAATTCATATTAGCTTAGTCCTTGGTAAAATGAAATTCAGAGCTATGTTATTAGCACTACCTTTAAATTATTCTCATTTAGGCATCACTCGCAAATGTAAACACTTTAAAGTACTATGTTGAAGAATATTATTGTACAAAGTCATTCAAATTGCACTTCTTTAAAAGGAAAAAGCACCGAGAAGGGTGTTTTCCTGCTACTTTTAAAATCAAATTCAGGATTTAATACCTTTATTGTTCCACTCTCCTGTCCAAAAGCTGCAAATTTAAGATCTTCACTTAAGCAACAGCAGGAAATGGGGGATTCTGGAGCTGCTGTCTGCATAATAACACTGTCTGTACTTCCATTTATAAGCTGCAAGATAAGAAGTTAATTAAGTTATTACAATGTTTTAAAATTTAAACTTAAATAGATTACAATACAGAGCTAAGAATGCTAAACGAACAGTGTACCAGTTTCAGACTTTGAATTATAAGGATCAGTTACTTCATAAACCAATTGCTTTTAAGGTCAGTGTAACTATCTTCATAGAATGCTCTCTGAACAGAACAAGCTTGCAGCAGGAAACTCATCTCAGTATTAGAAGGCTTTCTAAAGTTTGTCTGACTACATCTAACTCAAGATGTGACTCCCAAATTTCAAAAGCCATATAGCGAGCTCCATGCTCAAATTTACCTTGCCAGCCAGATTTTACAGCTTAGGCCAAATGGAGCATAAAATAGTTCAAGTGCATCCTCTAAGCATGACTTTAAACTTACTAGCACACACAATACACCAAATCTCAACTCAGTATCGCCCTCAAATCAATTCCCCAAGGGAAGGGAAAAAAAAAAAAAATTAGAATACAATGATTTACAAAGTTTAACATAGAAAGCTACCAGTGTGAAGTGTTTAAAAATGAACATACTGCACATCAAAAGGTGACTAGGACCCCAATTCTGAGAGATTACAGACTACAAAAGGTAAAACATCACGGTTGCAAGAAAAACTACTTTTAGAGATGTGATAGCAGAGATATACTGTTAAATTACAGTACAGATGTTTAACTGCAATTTGTCTTCTGAGTCAATTTCTCTTCTTGTGTAAGGGTGAAAAATCTATTCTCTTTCTACAATGGAGATTTCTGTCATGACTGCACCTCCACAGGATGTCAAAAAATTGTATTTAGGGCAGAAAATCTAAGCACCATTTTTCTCTAGGAAATGGTTAAAGTGAAGTTACAAGAGAAATATACTAATCATAAATAAATAGATCAGGTCTACTAATTCAAATGAGAGCCAAACTACACCATTACATAGTAGTTGCTGCAGATTTTACAATTCAGGAAGATTAAAAAGTAGCAATTATCCTGAACTGCTCCCCACATAAATAGGTATAACTCCATTCGTTGTGGTTTCTCCCATTTCTTCACTGCAACAGGTGCAGCTTCTCTTTTCTCGCACATTATTTGCTCACATAAATTTTAGTTTCAACATTGACTGCTTTCTGTTGGCTCAAAGTCTGAAATCTTTTTATTGCCAAGGCCCCATTGGAGACATTTTAGCTATTTCCACATCTATATTCCCCACTATTCAAATATCACCATCATCCCACTTAAGGTTTTTTTAATAGGATTTTTAAGTAAAGTAAGAAATGGCTAACTTGTTGACAGGACAGACAAAAGAAGGAGGACAGAAAATAATCAGGAAGAGTGAAACAGAAAGTACAGAGCAAACAAGAAGAAAAGTTTCTGCAAAGAAAGCTCTTGTTCTAGTAGCAGCCTAGGAAAAGCTGAGCATCTCTAGGACTAGAAATAAAGGCAATGGTCATGCTGATTAGCCAGGATTACATAGCTTACATGTTTGCCTTTGGCCAAATTAGGAGAAAGGACATGACCCTTCACAAAAAGATTACCTGCACAGTGTCCCTCAGTGCAGGGCAGCAGAATCTAGCCAACACTCACCTACCTATACACCCAGCAATAAGAATTCACTGCTTTCACAGTCCACAACAAAGGTTCACTCCTATTCAGATGCTGCTTTAGGCTAAACACCTGAAATAGCTCTCTCATGGATGAAGATATGGCATTGCCTATTTTGTGGGTTAACACACAATCGGTTTGTGTAAGCAGTATTTTGCAACAAATATGAAAGTGCTTCCATGTTTGAACAATTACAATCAAGTAGAAGCATAATCTAAATGAATTGTATTGCCTTCACTTCAAAGACAGTCCTATCAACTGACTATTTGATTTATTAGAGAATCATGATTAAAAAAGATGTGCATGCATTTGCTATCATGGAATGGAAAAATATATTTTGGATGTTGGTGTACTTACTACTTGGTGGGGGGGTCCATAGCAATAAAAGTGTATCCACTATTAATATTTTCTTTCGGACATAAAAGACCCCATGCTCTCCTAAGGCTACAGGCAGACCTGGGCTCGCACCTTGCACTCCCCCAATTTGAGATGATTGCTTCAGCTATTACGCAGTAGTTCTGATGCACTACATACACGTGCTGTGGAACACCTGGTCTATATCTGCTGCACACATTACACATTGCTGCGCACATCTAAGCCGCCTGGAGGGCCCACAGCCTCCCAGTCATGAAGAGAAAACAGTTTTGTTCCTCTGCATCCAGCTTCAGTTTCAACATCAGTATGGAAATTCCCCCTCAAACTTCATTTTCTCCTTACTAAACTAGGCAGAGTTTCTAGGCATAAAAATGTTATCATACATATAGTCTTCTGCTACAGATTCAACTGCTGAAAGCCACGAACAAGCAGTTCTTTCAGTTCTTCCTCCATTTCCTACTGAGATGTGTAGATAACATTCAAATGTACTAACATATTGAGAAACACAGCTTACTTGCAAATGCTTCTGATTGTAAATTGCTAAAATCATCACTTCACCATTGTGAAATACAACATCTAGTTCACTTTTTAGCACAGCATCAGAAGACTTGCACACCTTCTTTGTTTCCCAAATCTGTTGAAGAACACAGTATTTCATTAGTTTTATAAGGACAAGATATAAAACTTGCTGAGTAAGAGTACCTGTAAACCAAAGTCTTACAAACTTGCAAGTAACACTGACTTTTTAAATCAGTGAAAATTATGCTTCTGCTATTTTTACTTACTAGGGAACATTGTGCAATTACTACAGTGATTCCAAGCTGACTAGTAGACTCCCCGTGTTTAGAGTCATAGCTATAAAGTCCACAATTTTCTAATCCAAAGAAGAACGTTGAAATCCAATTACAAAAAACACCAAGTACAGATTTCTATACTTCAATTGCTTTCAAAATTTCAAGAATGTAAGTGTTAACTTGGGAAAAAAGGAAAGGTTACTTCGGTAAACTATAGTTCTACTTTCACAGGTTTTAATGAGGCATTACAATTACAGAAATCTATCCTAAATATTGACTTGCAAATAAATCTAACAATGAAAGTAATATCATGTCTGCTAGGATCCTCAAAAAACTTCACAATTCCTGATTCAGATAAAATCTAAAGCAAAACAGAAGGTTACATTTACTCTTGAACAGCCACCAGAATTAAAAAAAATCATACAGATACACAGTAAATTTAGATAAACAGTAAAAAAGCCCACTCATTTTACTGTGTATCTAAATAATTTTGTAACAAATATTCAAATTTATATTGGTTATAAACATACCTAAAGACTAAATACATAATATAAATAGATTATGTATATATTGTATATGATGTATAATTTTATAATGAACGATTTCTTAAATGAATAATTTTTTATATATATTATATATATAAAAATTCACATTTTTCAAAAAAGAAAGATGTCATCTTACACGTATTGTCTGGTCATCAGACGATGTCAGAAATAAAGATCCATCTGGTGAAAATGTCACACAGTGAACCCAGCTCATGTGTCCCCTGCAATATGCCACTTTTGATAAAGATTTAATATTCCATAACTACAATAAAAATATGAAAAAAGAACTCAAGTGATTTAGATTGCATTTACAGGGAAAACAGTGCAAAACAAGAAGCAGCATACTTAATTACTATTTCTTTTATGATTTTCTTACTTCTCATTCTGAAATCAGACATAACGAGAACTGTGCCTGCTTATCACATTTCGATGGTCAGGGAAATTGAATCAGCAGCCTCTTTGACTGCTGGAATTTTGTAAGACAAGAGGAAAAAAATAAAGAATATAAACCAAAAAAAAAAAAAAAAAAAATCACTCACAGTTTAAAGAAATACAAGTTCAACTTGACGACGTAGATTGCAAAACCAAAAAACCCCAAACAACAAAAAAGCCGACCCCAAAACTGATACTTGTACAGGCTTACTCTAGCCATGCCAGTCCCAAAGTTATTCTAGCTGTTTCATTCCTTTTTAGTGAGTTGCCACATTCTGTAGCAGCATAGGAGAGAGGGTTTGGTTTGTTTTAAGCAATACTCCTGAGAGTGACAACAATAACTTTAAATTAATTTAGTAACTAGTCTTTTTATATAAACATGAGTTCTGTTGTCCAAAACGAACATGTAACTTTAAAATGTTATTTCCCAATTGATATCTTACATTTCAGAAGTGAATGCAAATTAAAAAAGAATGAAGAACATTGAAAGCCTGCTAAAGTAGCTACATTTGTTTTACCTCTGCATGCAAGAAACTGTTAAGACAAATGTGACGTTTTATATTACAAGCAGTCTTTCCTAGTATACTGCAAGACAGACACTCACTTACCTCAACCGAACAGTGAGACAAAGCAACTGCTACTAACTCATCACCAGGACAAAAGTCACAGTATTGGATTGTACTGTGATGACTTATGATGACTTGCGATAGTAAACCACATGTTTTAACATCAAAAAGCTGTGAACACATAATTACAATAGTCAGCACCCAGTCTGAATGACTTCACTATACACAAATAACTTATATGCTCAACAGCGTACATTCTTGAATTTAGAAGGTATTTCTCTCGGTCAACAACTTTGTTGCCCACATATTTTTACTTTACACACACTTGAAACCATGCACCTTATATCTGAAACATCTTAATGGGCTGGAATTTTATCTTTAATAACAATTTCTACCTACATTGCAATATAGTGCCTCCAGAAAATTATTAAAGTAAGGTACTTACCAAAAGCTTATTTTTGGCTACCACCAAAATCATGTCACCATTTCTGGACCAAGAGCAACATTTTACTAAAACCTCCACATCATCTGGTTGCTCATCTGCATTTTTGAAGAAATCTTTTATCTCGATACTTTTCAGTTCATTTCCTGAGCGCGCTGCCCAAAGCTGCAATAAAAAGTAAAGGAAATACACAAAACCTTTTTTTGCTGATGTGGATACGGAATACAACAGGGAAGAGCTAACTCCCAATCACTTCTAGGAAAGAAGAGGGGCAGAGGTAATAGGATTAAAATATTCAGAAACCCAGATTGCTTAAGGGGGGGAGGGTGGATGGGGAATCAAAGAAAAAAAAAAAAACCAAAACAAACAAACAAAAAAACACAGAAAAAATATGATTACACTATAGCAGAACCCTCTCCCTGGGATTTTCCCTCATATCGTTCAAGCTACAATGCTGTCTCAACTTCTGCTTCACAGAAGAATAGAAACAAAAATAATACCTGCTCTGCAATGCTATTAAAAGTCCACTCACCACGAGAAATCTGGTATACATCTAGCTGTGCACCTTAAATTCATTGAGGGACCTGTCAAAAAAACTATTGAATATTTCTGTTCCCTCCACCACAATTTTCGTTCTGAATGACAACAGCTACAGCAACCCTTCTTTCCTTATTTAGCCACTCTATAGAAAGACAACAGTGTTTTAAAAATTGCAGTTTTGAAATAGCATAGTTCTGTTGCAACCAAAGGCAATAAAAATAATACTTTCATTCTGAGGGAAAACACATTATTAACCTCTCAATTCTCTTCTAGTGCATACATGAAAAACAGCACATAGAAATGGCTTTTTATTTTTATGTCTACTGATGATTCATTTTCAGAGATGACAGAACTTTCAATCAACTTAAAAACTTAAACTACCTTTTTTTTTTTTTTCTTTTTTTTTTAAAGTTTCACCTCCCCCCTCAAGTTTTCTTAACAGAGTACATTAGGAGGGAAAAAAAAATGGTGAAAAGTAAAGGATTCAAAATGAGGCTAGCTAGGATTTATTTACAACTGCAGGCACCCAAGTTTTCTTTCCTGGTACTGACAAGCCATTTCAAAATCTTGCATTAAAAAGAAGACCAATAATCAATTGTTTCAGGATTTAATTCATTAAAGCTGATCATGCAGACACAAAGTTTTCTCATACCTATTTTGCATTTTATAAAAAAAAAAAATCCATCATCAAAACAAACAGTTGCTTTAAAAATACACTCTGTACCTTTACTGTTCCATCTGTTGAGCAGCTAGCAACGTATTCATCATTTGGTGAAAATCTACAGTGATTGACAGAATTTTCATGACCAATCATCGTATTTCTACAATACTTTTTGTTCAAATCCCAAAGCTGCATAAGAAATAAATGTATAAATATCATTGTATTAATGAATTACTGAATGACAGATTGTTCATCCTGTTCTCAAAATCATGCACTGGCAACCAAAACGACAACTTTTTTTTCCTTAGTTTTACCCACAAGCTCATGGACTCGATGCTATGGCCTGGGCTACCCCACAATTTACCTCCATCTGCTAACATGCATGAAAACTATTAATATCAGAATTACATAGATGTAGTTAAATTTTCCGTACAGTGCAGACAAGGCCCTTAAACAGCACAAAGTTACTGAAAGTTTCCTCAGACTGAGGAAGAAGCTTCTTCTTGCCTCTCTCTCTTTCAACTTCAAAGTTCAGAATTATGTAGCTTAAACATACTAACAAAAATGAAATTTCTTAGGTTAGTCTTGGACAGTCTGAATATCATCCTTGCCACATCCATACTAACAAAGTTAAAAGAACATTCCATATGTTTTTTTGTTTAGGGATCCTCCTCCCCACCCCTCTTGCACACACTGTTTTCCAAGCCTATAGTCCACACTTCCTTTTTCCATTTCCAAATTTCTTCCCTTTCTCCTAGATTTAAAAAAAAAAAATAAAAAATCATGCATTTGAGTGTTCAAGTGAGAGCTCAAAACAAGAACAGTCACTTTGTACAGTGTTCTCTGAAAAAAAATGAGGCCCTTTTGATTAAGGTGCATACTCCTGTTATTCACTCATGAAAGTGTCAAACACTGTCTAAAATCTTAACCACATTTACAGTATAAAAATGGTCATTTTAAACAACTCCTTCTTAATCTACCTGTTCCAAGGTGTCAGCCTCAGACAGCAAAATGCATATCCTGAGACATCCAGGTCAGCACAAAAGCCTATTCTTTCTACCTTGACATCAGATCCTAACTGTATTTTACCTCCAATTTACACAAACACAAGCTCTTGGAAGAACTCTTCAGATTAGACTTCACATTACCATTACACCACCTCACATCCTGCTAGCTATAGCTGGAAGTGACAGTTGCCCCCCGCACTAACAACCTCACTCCTTGATGTCTACTGCCAACAGTTCTCTTGCACTGGAACTGGGCAATTCAGCCTCTACAGGGAACTAAACGAGCAGAAAACCAATCCCACCAAACAGAGGTTTTTGCAGAGTTGGGTCCTTGAACCATACCACTGCAGAAGAAGATCGGCACATGCACCGCAACAAAGGCAAGGATACACAGCCAGGGCATCTTCGGTGCAGGTTAACTATGTGATTTGCTTAGTGCTACTGTGAAATTGCACTCTTATTTGCCACAGTCTGGGTCTTACTTGTTTCTTCTGATTTCCCCCTTCCCTCAGACACAGACTTCAGTTGTCCGGTTTCTGCTCTTTCTGTGTATACATACTGCCTCCTAATCTGAACAATGCCAGCTGGTTAACCTGACAAACCTCTTGCTCTGATTACTGTTATTTTGTTGGCCTCTACCTTCATTTCTTTACTATTCCAAATCAATTTAATCAAAAAATGTACCTGCTACACTTCCATAATGCCTTTTTTTTTTTTTTAATCTTTCAGCATCTTTTTTTTTACATTATTAATGTTTTCAATCCTAAATTTCTGCCTTCATTTTTCTTATGCTGTTTTTAATCAGGTATTTCACTCCCATACTCTCCCATTCCCACCCCACTCTCTAGAAGTCTTGCCAAAGCCCTCACCTTCATGCTGTACCAATACAGGGCTTACCGATTCTCCTTTACTGAGCATAAACACTCCTGCCTTGTTGAAAACCAACTACATAGCTGTAGTCAGTACCCTGTTGCCATCTCTCTTCTACCAGGCTCATAAAACCCCCTTAATTTATAGCATTTAAATATATTTATACATCAGTAATCATCCTGTTATGATAAGCAGCATGAGAATAACATCTACGTTTTCCACTTACTTTGATGTAAGTGTCATTCGAGCAGGTGGCTAAAAGATACTGACCACTTCTGTTATTGAACTGGCAGCAATTGACCTGCTCTGAGTGTTCTTCATACACACATTTACACCGGCCTGTTCTTGAATTCCAGATCTAGACAGAATTGAAGGATGAAAAATACTTTTAAATATATTTAAAGTACTTCATATTAAAAATAATAAATCTGTAAACTATGCTGAAATACAGATAAAGGCCTAAAACATTCTTAATAACACCTCAAAAATGTTTTGAGGATAAAGGGAAAGCATATATATTTATGATTAGAAACAAGAAGTTGTGAGATGAAAGGTAATAATTCAGATTGGAATCTGATAAATACTGGCATTTCACCAAGGTTGTGTACAATACTGAGGAATTAAACATTCCAAATAATTCATGTGTAACAGAAAAAAAAACATGAAAAAAGGAATTATGGATACATTCATCTCAAGTTATCTATAGGATTGGACTCACACATTATTTTCTACTTAAAAAGAATCATCTTTTCATCACAAGTAAAATAAGTGGTAATTCTGTAAGCGTGATGTTAACATTAAGCATCTTTTACGTCATGTAACAAGTGGGACTTGTCTGTTTAAGTAGTGAATTATCCACAAAAGATTTAAGACAGTTAAAAAACCCTTTAGTCTTAAGAATCTCCTCTGCCTGAGTTGGTTAAAACTGAAATTAGAATTATTAATTTGAAAAAAAAAAAATTCTGCTCTCCATTTCCTTACCTTCACTTTTTTATCAGCTGAACAAGTTGCTACAAATTCACCATCGGCAGAGAAAGCGCAACATAGTATTTCGTCATCATGGGCACTTATCTCCAGGAGTCTCTCTCCACTTTCTGCTTTAAACACCTAAAACAATAAACAATAAAATCTTACAACTCGCATACAATTTTAAAACACAAATATAAGCTTGATTTCTCTCAAACAGCTCTCTTTCTATAAGCTTTTCATAAAATTGGTTTACTTTTGAAAGCATTTATAATTTCAGGGAAATTAACATAATATTTATAAAAATATTTAATTTAATTTGAGCTTCAAATTTGTAAGGATGGTAGAAATTGTTAGGGAGAGAAACGGTGAAAACTGATTTTAAAAGAGATTTTTGTATGTAATTTGTGTTTCATTAATGACTTTTTCTATCCTCACTCTTTAAGCCTAAATCCATGTCCTTTCTCAGTATTTTTTAATAGTAACTGCAAAACGTTGTATCTATTAACAAAATCTAAACTGTTCTTAAAGCTACAAATTCCAGGTTTTATATTTTTACATATATATCATATATATATATATATATATATGATATCCTTCTGTGGAAAGTAAGAATTTCAGCAGCAATTGATGATTTGGGGAACAAACAAGAAAATGGAAGTAGTGAAAAGTCATAGAGGATGACACAAGTCTCAGTCTTGAGCTAGTCATAAGCAATAAAAAGACAGTTGGGGAAAAGTGTCGCATTAATTAATTTCCAAAAATTCTGGGATTTAACTTTACAATGGGGGCGGGGGGGGGGGGGGGGGAAATAATCAGGTCTCCCTTTCCTCCTTAGGTTACATATTCTTAATTATTCAAACAAATCACACAGTGTTCTTTACAGCAGTGTTCAGGATACTACAGTTGTGAAATCCCCATTTTTCCCTTTACTTTTTCATTGAATGGCAACGTCAATGACAGTGAAATGGTTGGTATTTGTCCAAGTAAGAACATAAGTACTGAAGTAACAGGAAATCTACATTTACAGTAAATTCTGCAGAATACTTGTTCTTAATTTAGCAATCATTCTTTTTTTATTTTACAGAAACAGCAGAAGTAGCCTTGAAAACCGAAAAGCTTAGGCCACTATTAGAAAAAACACGAGTAAGTTCAAAGTTAACAATGAAAAAAGGATTATTACTAATTTTTCTATTACATCTTCAACAAAAGTTTAGTTTAAATGCAATCTCAATCCACAGATTTTACTTTTTTGAGTAAAAAATTAAGAGAAAAATAAGCAATCTGCAGTCTCAATAATGAGGCCATTAAGTACAGAAGCCCAGCACAGCAACTTCAGCACAGCATAAAATGAGTACATCCACCAGGCATCTCCTCAACCGGATGCCATGATCATAATATTGTAGAAGCCAGCAAATAAAAATAAAAACACAGTAACAACACATTAAGTAGCCAAATGAACAGCAACTAAGCACCACTAATATTATTACTTTAGTACTCAACTTATCAAGCATCCAAAACAATACCAAAGGCTTGCAGAAAAGTTGTTCTTTTCCCTTACCTTTGGCTGTCTGGAATATGGATACTTTACCAGGTTACTGGCTGGCTGATTGCTAGTTCTCTTGAGAGCTGGCTGGCTCCCCTGCAGGCAGACTGCTGGCAAATTTGTATTAGTCACTTTCCTCTCTCTCCCCTAATCCACTTCCTAAGCACTTTGGGCCTGTTTCCAGTCTAATACTGTCCTCAGCTTCAGGGGTTCATTTTTCTCCCCAGATTTATTTCTTTTGCATAAGACAATTTACTAATTAAGCACCAAAGTAGCATAACGTCCATTACCATCCCATAGAAATAGTAAAGCTGTAACTAAAACGTCTTACTGTTTCTCAGCTCTGTAGAAGGTCTACTCTGACTGGAAATAACATTTTTGTAAGCAAGTATTAAATATGCTGGGGTGCATTACTTAAGCTGTGAGCTCTTCCGTATCATTAAAAGGTGTCTCACATTCAGGTATTACAGTGGTGAGGGTATAAACCCTGAAATCACACCGTTTAGCTTTCAAACTAGAAGATAACGCTTACTATTTTAAACACGCAAATTGATGTTTATGTAATAATACATCCTTTTCAATCATTTGTTTGCAATATGTTCTAAACCCCTAATATCTCTACATAACAGCGAAAGAAAAGTGACAGGACTGTTAACAAATGTTATCAAAATGGTACACAGCATCTCTTTTCACTCACGTATAGGCATCTTACCTGAAGTGTTTTATCAGCTCCACATGATGCTATTCTTTGTCTATCCTTAGAAAAGCAGGCATGGTAAACTGCATCTCTATGTGGACGAACAACCAGACGGTAGAGGTTTTTCAAGGATTTTTTATTTCTACAGGGTAAGACAGTTGATTTTAGATGAGTAGGATTTCCTAGTGCCTTTTTATTATTCAAAATCCTCTCTAAAAAAGATAACACTTTTTCACACATCTTGAGCAGCAAGCTTTATAACAAACCAATCAACCCACTATACCTTACCTCTCAGCCTTCACACTGAAGTAATAAGGGAAACACAAATTCCAACATTCACTCATAGTTTTTATTGCCCTCCAATAGTTACAGCTTAGAGATCAAGAAAGATAATACATGCACAAGAAATTCACATGCTACTTCATGGGCAAAGCTGTTACAGTGCAAGACAGCCTTCCTAATGACATTTTTATGATCTGGTATGTGCTGTTTCCAAATATAAATTTATTCCTGAGAATTTGTTCTCCTGCAGCTCCTTTTCAAGCTTATTCAAAAACATTTGAAAATTTACCTAGATCTTAGTAAATTTACTCTATTTTCACAGCAATGACTCAACTCTTATCACTAGATATTTAAATAACATCTATGACTATCACTGCATTTCAATCAGAGATTATGTATAGAATCTAACACACCTTAGATGACTCTTGCCTTACTTTAACAAAAACTTAGAATTAGTAGCAATCAAAATCATCCTGTTTAGCCAGATCTTAATACAGAAAGCTGTCATTGTAATAAGATGATTTTTGCTGATGAATAGATTATTACAAGATTATTTTTTCTTCTAGAGTCAAAATGAATCAATGTATTTCAAGTTTTTATCATTACCAGTTTCAATCATTAGACTTAGCATTTAAATAATGGGTAAAATATCTCAAACAAAGTAGCTGCGCTGTAGAATGAAAGCAATTTTTCACTGCAAAATACTGACTCACCTAAGCTGACTTTTTTTTTTTTTTAAGAGTATTTTAATAAAGCTAAAATTGCTGGTCAAGAGAGCAGTGTATTCACTTACATATCCTACAAACCATTTTTAGAACCTTGCCCTAGGAAGGCAGACAAAAACATCTATCTGTGTTCTGTTGATTTCAGTCATGTTCTTCAGCATAAGCCTCCCACATCCAAGGCGAAAGCCCTGAACTACCTGGAGATTAACTCTTCTGAATTGTTTCAACTTCCAAGCATTTCTGTTAGAATTCTGTTAGCTATGCAAAATGAAATAACCAAATATTCAAAGAAAATACCTGAATTCAAGCATGCCTGGATCAACCTGCCTGGTTATTACCATAATCACCAGACATAGAGACATTCTGTTTTGTAACTACCAAGTACTGCAGATACCAGAACAGAAACATCAAACAGAAGAATCTAACAGACAGTTACATGGTCAGATGACTACTGGACTGTGGTGGGAAAATGTTTAGATAAGTATACTTTTTCCTTAAACAACTTCCAAAAATATGAAAACAGCAAAGAATTATTTAAATAGGAGAAATTTCAAGACTGCGTAGAGATTACAAAGCCTTTCAGTATTTTCCATCTTGCTGCTTTCAAAAAGTTTGCAAGTTAACACAAATGCTCTCCTTTTTAAAGTGTACATTTTACTAGAAAACCTAAAACCATACTGTAACATACCCAATACCTGCACTATGACCCTAACTTAAAAAAAAAAAAAGCATTTAGAGAAGATTCAGAGTATCTTATTTTCATCTTTGTACAGTTATTTAAAAGGAACAATCATTGAGTTCAGAAGTAAATATATTCCTCTACTTATTTCTATGTAATTATTACTTATCTGTGGCCTTATATATCCAGAGTTTTCCTCCTCCCACAAGTTCGTGAAAATTATTTCACTTTCTTTCCCCAGAAAAAAACACAGCAGATCTTAAAAAGGTCCTTATATTAGCCATACATTGTATTTAGTTGTACATTAAATTATTTCTTTGGATCAAGGGATCAGCATATCAGCAGGTGGACTGCAGCTACTTACATCCATTCCAAATAAAATGTTCCTGTTTCTCTTTGCGCATATAGCTTGGCTTGTTGATACACCTCTGATGTCTCTGGTTGGCAAAGACCCAGCTGTATAATGTCAGGAAACGGTTGCCGACCAAGAAGGTGCCCATTTAAAGACAGAAATTCCTGGAAGTTCTCACGCACTGTGCTATCCTATGTACAGAGCAGATAATATTTGGTAACATAGAAAGTGGATTTATTTCCTAAGTGCCCTTTGCTTTTTAAATTTTCTATACAGCTAATATTCTTACAAAAGCACTTAGTTCTATTTTTCTGTTTAGTTCTATTAGCAAGTACATACGATAGACTGAAATATTTCATTATCCTATTCAGGAAAGCATATTATGCTTATTTTTCAAATAAAGAATATTGGCAACAATGATTTACTCAATAAGCAGTCAATGTGAAATATCAGAAAGACTATTCCAAATGGCCAACAAAATTCTACACCTCCTCAAAAGCAGAGTACCATATCTACCAACCATTAGGTAATGTTGTTAACCCTAGTTATTGAGTTCCATGGTCAGTTACTTGGGCACACACTGAAGTTACAACTTAAACTGAAAAGTAAATTTTCTTCACTTTTCTCTTCTCCAAGATAAAGTTTAACTTAGTACTGTTTTTATGTTTCAGGTTTTTAAGCTTTCTATGTATCTCCCATATACACATACATCCAACAAAATGCAATTATAAAGTAGAAAAATATATTTCAAACGGACTGATCATTTACCTTTTAGTACCATACCTTTTGATCCAGGATTGAACTATATTCTACGTATTCATGAATCAGGTGAGCAGGCCCTACCAATTCTGTTTTAGCTTTAATCCAGTCTAAAGAAAACATAAGATCACGGAGTTCCTAGAAGAAATACAAATCTAAGTTCAGAGCATAAAAAGGGGAAAAAGAAAAGCAAAGGAAATACATTAGGTATTTAATAAGCTTCTGTACAATTGCATCTAGTTAAAAACTTAGGCAATTTCCTGTTTTAAAATTCCGGGTATAGAAGGCTAAGCTTGTTATTTTAATGCAAAGGACTGCTTTTTGATACAGCTAGTCAGAGAAGGGATTGGGGTACAAAGCAAATCTTGACTTCTGTAGCACACAAGACCTGGTTTAAGATACAATTCTGAAAAAGCTTCTTCTAGTCCAGTCTAGCAAAGATCACTCTGCTAATAGTGATCTGTTGTTCTTCCTAACAGATGCTGAATTTGAACGAGAGCAAAATGATCTGTTGTAATTGCATTTAACTTAAAAATGAGAAAGCTACTTAAAAGGTAATCAGAAATTATAGAATAGAATAATTTCAGTTAGAAGGGACATACAACAATCATCTAGTTCAACTGCCTAACCAATTCAGGGCCGACCAAAAGCTAAAGGAAATTATTAAGGGCATTGTCCAAACGCCTCTTAAACATTGACAAGACTTGGGGCATCGACCACCTCTCTAGGAAGCCTGTTCCAGTGTTTGAATGCCCTCTCGGTAAAGAAATGCTTCCTAACATCCAGTCTAAACCTCCCCTGGCGCAGCTTTGCACCATTCTCATGTGTCCCATTACTGGATACCAGGGAACAGAGCTCAGCACCTCCCTCTCCAGGTCCCCTCCTCAGAAAGCTGCAGAGAGCAATGAGGTCGCCCCTCAGCCTCCTTTTCTCCAAACTGGACAAACCCAGTGTCCTCATCTGCTCCTCCTAGGACATGCCTTCCAGTTCTGCCACCAGTTTTGTTGCTCTCCTCTGGACACGTTCAAGATCCTTTTTAAATTGTGGGGCCCAGAACTGCACACAGTACTCGAGGTGAGGCTGCACCAACACTGAATACAGCAGGATAATCACCTTCTGACCGGCTGGTCACACTGTTTGATGCACCCCAGGATGGGGTTTGCCCTCCTGGCTGCCAGGGCACACTGCTGGCTCATACTGACCCTGCTGTCGACCAGCACCTCTGGATCCCTTTCTGCAGGGCTGCTCTCCAGCCACTGCTCCCCCAGTTTATAGCTGTGTGCGGCATTACTCCATCCTAGGTGCAGAATCCGGCATTTGGACTTGTTAAATTTCATCCCATTAATCACTGCCCAACACTCCAATCTATCTAGATCCCTCTGCAAGGCCTCTTGTCCCTCAAGAGAGTCAACAGCACCTCCAGTTTGTTATCATCAGCAAACTTGCTAATGGGGCATTCAACTCCTGCATCCAGATCATTGATAACTATATTGAACAGGACTGGCCCTAAAATTGAACCCTGAGGAACACTGCTGGTGACCAGTTGCCAGCCAGATGCAGCCCCAATCGCTAAAACCCTTTGAGCCCTGCCCTTCAGCCAGTTCTTCACCCAGCACACCAGGTACCTGTTCAGTTCACAGTTGGACAACTTGTCTAGAAGGACATTGTGAGGGACAGTATCAAAAGCCTTACTAAAATCCAGAAAAACTACATCCACCGCCTTCCCTTCATCCACTAGGCAGGTGACTTTATCATAGAAGGATATCAAACCAGTTTAACAGGACTTTCCCTTTGTGAACCCATGTTGACTGTGCCTGATGATTGTATTATTCTTTAAATGCCTTTCAACAGCATGCAGTATAATCTCCGTAATTTTTCCAGGAAGTGAGGTTAGACTAACAGCTCTGTAGTTTCCCGGGTCTTCCCTCACGCCCTTTTTGTGGATTGGAATAACATTGGCTAGCTTCCAGTCAGCAGAGACCTCCCAAGAACTTTGCTAGACGATCGAGAGGGGTCCTGCTGTAACATCCGATGGCTCCTTCCATACTCTGAGATGAATCCCATCAGGCCCCATGGACTTGTGAACATCCAGCTGATACAGCCAGTCCCTTACAATTTCAGCATCCACAAATGGGACGTCACTGTTCCCATGCTCGTGGTCCTCCGACTGAGGGGACCAGGCAGACCAAGGTTTGTCAGTATTATTAAATACTGAGGCAAAAAAAGCATTGAATGCTTCCACTTTTTCTTTATCCCTGTTAGGCAGATGACTATCTCCAACAATTATCAGTCCAATGTCTTCTTTAGACCTCCTCTTGTTACTAACATACTTTAAAAAGCCCTTCTTGTTAAAAAAACCATACTTGCTGGGATCAGAAAAACTGCTTAGAGACAACACTGCACAGGCTCAAAATATGTTCCAATTTAAAATCAGTAAATACTGCAAGGATTAAAAGCTTATCATGGTTAAACAAAGAAAAAGAACACCTCCCATCTTTATTAGCCTTCCAACAAATAGAAGTCATGTCTAAATATTGAGAAACAAGTAATATAAACAGTGTAAACTCTGGGAAGCATACAGTCATAATGAGACAGGCTAAAGAACTCCGAGAAGCTAATTCTACAAAATAAATAAAAACATTTTTCCAACACATTGAAATTAAAGAGACTGAGATAATGAAATAAGTATGATCCAAAAAAATCTAGATTTGTAGCTCACATTAATTATGAAGGTTCCTATAGAATATAACTACACAAAGTGTATTTTATGTGATGAATCAGATGAACCATCTCAAAAGAGGTTCAACTGAAAAGGTTTGAGTACATGTGAAATAAAGCAATTAGCCACCAGGACCAAATGCTATTCAAGGCAAGAATTCTAAAGATATTCAAGTGAAACTACTGAAATACTGATCTTCCTGCATGACTTGCATCTTATATTAGCTCAGTACCTAAAGAACAGTAGGTAGCAAAACTGACAGCAATTTTTCAGATGTGCCAAGGCAATCCTGGGAACAAGAGATTTGCCCATCTAACTGTTGCTGGATTTTTTGTGGCTGTTGAAATCTGGCAATATGGAGAGGAACTTTTACACAAAAATCAGTATGACATAAGAGGAAAAAAACAAACAAGACTTCTGTAGAAAAAAAAATTAAATAATCTAATCAAATTCTCTGAAGAAATCAATCTTTTTGTATTATACAATAAAGTGAGCCTGGGCTTCCAAAAAGGTTTAGAGAAGATTTTTTTATCAAAGCTTCTTAAAAAGGAAAAGAAAAACACAAGCTATTATGATAAAAAATAAGAAATCTTCTCGAGAACTGGCTGAAAAGACAAGACACAAAGGGTAGAAATAAAGTAGTTTTCATAACAGACAGTGATTATCAGTGGAGTCTCTAAAGAACTCTATGTTGAGTGTTTACCCATCTGCACAAAAGCCTGGGAGAAGAGAGGTTCAAGTGGGAAAAAGTCTGGGGGGAAAGGCAGGGGTAAGGGTGGGTCAAGAAGGGAAACAGAGGACACTTGTCAGAACTCACCTTCTGCATGTTGGCACCAGCCATGTGATACGCTAGAAAGTTATACCAGTACATGCAATCCTCTTGAGATGGAACAGGAGTATTAAGTTTGTAATATTTCTTGTACTGATTTACTATGTTTTTATGTAGCTCCTGCAATGTGAATCAAAACACACTTTCAGTTAATACTATACCAAAGTATGGGTTGTTTTCAGCATGGAGGAATTAGAATTATTGTTAATATTACATTGTATATAGTGTGAGGAATAATATTATTATTTCTCAATTGTAATACGTCAACAAATGAAATAAGAAAAGCTTACCTTCCAAAACTGTACATTTAACCTAATTTATTGCTTAAGACTTCTCCAGAACATTCTCTGGATATTAAAAAACAGAAAAGCAAACTGTTAACCTTCCTTCTTCAGCTGAGAACAGCTATCAAATCACTCTGCACATTAAATGTGGGTAGCCAATAAAAAAAGACTCTTACATAAGTGGATCTAAAGCAAGCCTAAAAACTTGTCTTTTCTTCATATCTACTCCTTCTGCCCTGTCCTTCAGAACTGGTAAATTTATTGGGCCCGACTTACAGGTCCTCTCCCTGCAAGTATTGCCTTAAATTGAAAAAAAGGAGTAAAAAGCACTTCTCTGTATTAAAAAAGAAACTTCCTATTCTGGTGGGGTCTTGATGCCTTTGGAACCATCAGTGGAACATTCCACCTCCTGCTGGAAATGTCTTTGACAGAGAAATAATGGATATCGAGTCTTCTCTCAGTTCAGTTTCTTAGCTCCAAATGGAACCATCATGAAATCACTCCACAGTTTCAAGTTGAAAATAAATGTTTTTAATTACTCAGCATTAAGTTTAACTGCATTGTGGACCTATTCTATGAAGCTACTCTGGATACCGTTTAAGGAACATTTTCTGAAGAACGCTCAGCTTTGGAGAACAAAGTTAAAAGGAAGTAGATTAGTCAATACCCTACCTGAAGCTGGTTGCGATTCTTCTCTGTAAGAAAGTCAAGTTGAAGATCATGTAAATAATAGTGGAATGATTTCCCATTACGATCACAGAACAATAGCGATTTGTTAACAAATTCCTGTAGAATATCTTCAACTTCTTCAGTTTCCATATCCCAAAGAATACAGAGAACCTAAAAAAACCACATTAAGACAGAAAAGAGTCAGAAGTAAGGGGTAATATGACTTGTGTGAATATCACAAAAGGCTACCAATTAACTGACAACAAAACACATGCTAACAAATATAGACATATTACAAATGGTAATAAATTCAGTAAGTTACCAATTCTTCCATACCAGACTACAGGACAGATAATACAAGTTATCTCATCTTTTGTCTATTTGTGCTGATTTATTGTGATCGTATCTTTTTCTTAAATGGGACAAATTTCACGTAACAGTTTTAGAGCCTTCAAAGAGCTCAATTACAATATAATTAAAAAGTTATATATGGAATGCACATTAAACTTAAATATTATGAATACATTTATTCAGTTACAATTTTTTAGTTTCATTACTGACAATAAAAGTCATGACACAATAATGGACCTGACCTACCCAATCTGGCAATTACCGTTAAGTTACATACAGTGCAAGTTATACGCAACAATTATAAATTTTATGAAGTCTTTAAAGTTATTGTTTGTATCTCACTAAAAACGATGAGATCTCTGCATTGCTGTTATTACCTTAGTAGGTACTTTAACATCTTTTGGGAGGACAGAGAGGTCTTTATAGTAGTCTTTATAATTGTCATTCAGTTGCTCAACACTTATGGACATCGCTTCATCAAGGGCTTCATAATCATAAGAAGATGATTTTCTTATTCTTTTAAACTGCTTATTCTGCAGCTGTTTGAGATAGTATTCCCAACGACTGGGGAAGTCTCGTAATAATGCACCTATCAAGGATATCACAAGAGGAGAACCTGAAAGAAAAGATTAATTTAATCTTAGAGGTTTTCAAGGAACACAATCCAATAATTCAGTCAAGTGGTTGACTACATCAGGTAATTTTCCCAATACATTGATTAAATTATTGAGGTGTGGAGAACAGACAAACAAAACATGTCATCCATATAGACATCTGCAAACTCACCAAATTTAAGTGGAATAGTGGGGCAGGGGGAAGATATGCTGAAGAAAACTACTCAAAAACCAACATGAGACACTTCTATTTAGTTTAAAAAAAACAAAAAGCCTTTAACAAGCACTTGTGTTTTACTTAAGGCGTACAGTATTAAAGAATGTTCCTTCCTCTATTTGTAAGTCAAAACCTAGAAGAAAAAAAGACATTCAGTGGTAAACAGTATGTTAAAGAGCAGCAAGTATACCTTTGCATTCTCTTACAAGGCAGTTAGCTTGTTCTGGCAGTTCTGATATTTTCATATTCACAAACAGGGATAAAATCTCCAGTCCTTTTTCATGTGCTAGTCCACTTTCCACATGAACCTCATATTTATTGCCTAGACATAGAAACATGGAAAAAATTTAAAAGAACGTAAAAAATCCTAAGGAAATGAAGAGTATTTTCCAAGCAAAATCTGGAGCAAAGGACCTGGCTCATGATTTTTTGCATAGTATTTTATATGCTTAGTACTAAGAAAAGTATAAACTCTACTTATCAGAATCAAGTTCGCATTAGAGAGACAAAAAAATTAAGACTATAATCTAATAGTTGCAAATGTATTATGGGCATGTTGTAGCAGTGACTGCTTAATAGCGTAATCAGTCTAACAGCAGTGGTGTGACAGAGGTTAATTTACCCTGTTGAGAATCATTGCACTCTTTAACATAGACATATAACCTTCAGGATAACATATAACATTTATTTCACAAAGAGCATAAAGTCTCACAGAGCAGAATTCTAAAACTTTGCCACTTGTGCACAAGTTGATAGACATAGATCGTATCAGATTCTTTTAAAAGTTCACAAGAACAAATTGCATACATATACACACACAATCTGTGGTGCAGGAGAGGAAATTGCTCCTTACCAGCTACAGCATCTGTTACGCTCCTGTCCCTGCTGGTGATAAGAACCTGACATTGATTATCAAATGCTTTTAATACCCAGGAATCCCAAATGTCATCCAGGATCAAAAGAGATCTAGTGCAAGAAGAAATATTGCAGACTTCAGATCAACTATTAGTGCTAAAATACAGTTTTGCATTTTAATAATGAAAGAACATTTTAAGAATTTACAATGTATCACTGCATAATTTTTTATATTAATATGTAAAATATGTAAAATCTTAAGAGGGCACTAAACACTGTGCAAGAAAGTTGAATGCAAGTCTCTAAAAAAAAGTTTTTACCTTTTATTGCTTAATAGCTACAACTGAAGTGTAAACAATAAAATCTTAAGAAATATTTCCATTAGTAGATATCAGGAAATCCAGAAATATTTACTCTGTTTTTCAAGTCATGTGGTATCATAAATGAACAAAAAAGTTGTATACAACTAGGTAACAACTCTGCTTGACACAGGCTAGTGATAAGCTTTGTGGGAGAAACCACGTCAGTATCCTTTTAACTGGAGAGTTTTCAGTTTTGTTCTTGTATCTTCAGAAAGCTATACGAGACTAATCCTCTTGTGAAGGAAGTGCCTTGGATGATGAGGCTCTTTTTACATAAACAACATTTTATAGTGACTGCATATTCAAATCCTGTGGCTAGTGACGTCTGTAGGTTACTACATGCAATCCCACCATAATAATGTTTGTAGACTTCCCTGTACCTGCCTGTATCTGACAAAGAAGTTAGTGAAAACTGTTTTTAAAAGGTTGGTTCCAAGAGAGCAAGAAGTTAAAAAGATTGGCTAGCAAGTAGATTTATGAAAAAAAATACCAGTTATTTGCATTCTGTGTGTTTTGTGGTGGAAAGAAAGTTATTGAAACCAAATTCTACAAACTGTTTACATTTACTGCCTTGTTTGGGTTTTTTTGTGTGTGGGTTTTTTTTGTTTGTTTGGTTGGTTTTTTTAAAAGGATGGAATTTTCAGCTACACGAATCACTGGTTAAATTGTCCAATTGCCACTGAAGTGTATGAAGACTTCCGCATTTTTCTTCAGCTAAATGACACTTATGCAATCAATGCTTATAAATAAAGATTTTATCCTTCAATAAACAAGCACATACACATTATAGCCCATTTTCAAAGTTACATAAAAGTCTTGGATACCCATACCTCATTTTTATACAATTTCTCTACTAAAACTCTTTTGATAAATCAGAGGGTTTACAAGAATACTATCACAGCCATAAATGACTAATTCTGTGGTACTTTCACACTTGAAAATATGCTGGGCAGCATGAATTACAGCCTGATTTTATGTTTTTAATTAATCTGAGAACTTAAAAGTCCTCACAATCTTTTGGTACCAGTGACTTTCTTCTCCAACCATACCAACAAACCTTAATTCCTAATTAGGATTATAAAAAAAAATTTAAAAAAACAAAACCAAGAAACAAAAACCCCAAATACTGTGATAACAATCACAGGGCATTTAATACTGAAACTTCTTTCTTTAAAGAATATCACAGCTTCAATTTCTTCAACCACAATCCAACAAAATAAATAATGCCGTGTTGCTCAGAAAGTTTTCCTTTGACTAATACTTTAATCCCAAGAAATGTAGTGGATTCACAATTTGAAATCTTTGACTAACACTTGATTCCCAAGACATATACTGGGCTGACTATTTGAAACCAGAAATAGCTGAAGTGACTTTTTGTCATCAAAGAGAATTCCAGTGCAGAGCAAGCTCCTCCACAAGCCGCAGAACTAGTGAAGCTTGGTTTCCAATACGCCTGCACCCTATGAACCTCACTCCCCAGTACATTCCCCCCTACCTCCTCCCATGCCCACTATGATTTCCCAGATAACCCATCATCAGCAAGGCTTTCAGTTTGTTCTTGCAACATTCTCACATATCTCTAACTGCGCAGGATGCAGCACAGGCTGTGGCCTGTTCCCAGCTCGTGTGTCCAAGCTAGCCAGTTAGCAAGACAACAAAATATGTTTCCCTTCAATTAATTCTGTATACGCCTTTTCACCACTGAAGGCACCTGCTTGGATTTCTCTTCTTTATGCAACTGTCAATTTTCATAAACTTACAGAATTTTCCAAGATACAAAGTTCCTACCTTTAGAGTCAACTCTGGCAATATGCTCCAAGTGTTTAGGATAGAGAAGGAGAAGGGAAAGGGTAAACAAGACTAAGATGAACAGTGTGATCACATTAACACGGTTTCTAAATGGTGAAATGCAGTCAGACTAGAAAAGTTTTATAATCAATTCTTGTCCCTTTTCCTTGAGGTGCAGTCATCCTCTGCAATACTCCTATCTAACATCTGTTACTTTATCTTGAAACAGATTAATGAACGTTGCCAGGCCAACCGCATCCTACATGAGATACCTGACAGTCTATAAGGAAGACACTGCCACAGCTGGCATTGATATGCCCTTAAATAAAACCAAGTGCCTAATTGTTTCCAAAGCTGGCATTTTCTCTTTTCCCCTTAGTTTCCTCAGCATAAAGGCGCTCCTTTTACAAAACACAGTAAGTACATCTTAAATGAGTCACTTTGTGCACTACAAACAATATAGCACAGCATAGTATATCGACATTCTTAGGCTGTCATGTCACTTGGCTGTACAGTTGCTGCCAACTTCTGGAACAGTCCATGATACCATAGGGATACATCGTACAGGAAAGTAACACAGAGTTCTCCCTTCTACTCAGAAGAGACTGTGATGTTGTGCATCAATTAAACATCCAAATTCTTCTGTATTGAAGAGTTTTGTTTTGTTTGTTAATAAACAAAAAATAACAGGAATTGTGTCAATGGAGACAACGACTTAACATACTTCAGGGAAACCTGCACTTTCAGTTGAAAGTGTCTTGTTTGCACTTTTCATATAAGACTTCCACAAAAATGAAAGATTTCTCGTGGAGGACCTGGCAGTATTTTTCAAATTTTTTCTTTGGAAGAAAGATTATTTTTTTCCTGTACAAAAATGGCAATATTCTTCTAGTCTATGTCATCTATAAAGATCACAAGGTCGGAGTGTTATTCTTGGGATATCTCACCCAGGTGCAGCCTTGTTTAGTTTAGTACAGATTTTCCCAGAGAGTAATGAAATCCTCAACAAATAGCAAAATCTATTACCCACAGATGAAAAACAAAAAGTGCAGTGACTGAGACGCTGCTTGATTAAATCAAGTCACTTTTCCTGAAGTTTGAAAGCAACTTGTTTCTTGGCAATAATTGATCATATGAAAACCTGCTTTCACTTTGGTAACTCTAGACCAAACACTTTAAAAAGCCATCAGCTGTTCCAGAAAGGAAAAATTTTCTGGAACGATACACACCCTTTTACTGCTGTATGATCCTCACACATCAGTGAAGCACTCTACATACACAATGAGAACACTGAAAGTTAGAGCAATTCTTATTTCCAACTGTTTGTTCCCAACTTTCGTTATTAAACGACTAATAATTTTTCAAGCGAATGTGACTCCTGCACAGCTGGTTAACATATTTTGTTAGCAGAAGCCTTATTAGCCTACTAAATATATTCATACCCAGGACAAGCCTACGATGTATCCCTTAAGTTACTCCATTAAAAAAAAAAATCTCTAAACAGGAACAGTTATACTACGTATATTATACATCTGCCTCTAGCATCTGTTTACCTTTCAGCTTTTGTACACTTATCTGGACGTACTTATTCTTTTATCATATGTAAGGTAGTAATTTAGAAAATTTTAACAAGAACCTCTACACAAGAATTAAAATTCTAGAAGTATTGTTAGCTTCACCTTGAATAACTCTTCCTAATTATCTACAGTAAAACAGAAAAAGTGGAAGAGTTAGGAAGTTGGTTTAAAAAGAAAAAAAAAAAAACCACAAACACACCAGAGACATGTAACCACAACACAGACACCTTAGACAATTAGACCAAAGTTACTTTGCAAAGTTTTCCATTAAAATAAGTGTTTCATTTTACTGACATCACCTGGGATATTTGCGTAGCATCAGCAAACGAAGACGATCTTTAGCCTCTTCAATGTTGAGTGGTGGCCTTTGTGAAAGAGTAGAGTCATGTTCTAATCTACTACAGAGATTCTGAAGTTTTATTAGGAGCCCTGCTTTGTCTTGTTTTCCAACAGAGATCCAGTGAACTCCTCCCGGAAAGTAATCTAACAAGAAAAGCAACATTAATCATGCTATACATTTAAAAGTGTAAATATTTAATAGCGGCTTACAATAGCAATCAATAACTCAATTTCAATTAAAATATAAAACTGTAAAGTCTATTGCAAGCCAGCCTTGCAACTCTACCACTAACACAGAAGGATGGTTCTACAAGACCACTACTTTTTATTTTTAAAGGAACAGGCTCTATAGGGCAAGTTCCCACAAAGAATTCACACTGCCACTGATGCTGTCGTCCCTCTTCTCTACATGCCTTCCTGCCTGTCCCTTAACAATCCCTTCTGCATCCACCTTCCTGCTAGTCTGACTTAGCATTTACTTTTTTAACCCTGTACTACTGCAGGAGTTCAGAGTTTGGGATGTGAAAATTATCCCAAAACAGTGAACAAGGCGGCATCTAGAAGAGTCAGGTGTAGCAGAGGATGCCGTAGTCTCTATCCCTACATCATGTTTTCTACAGTCTGAGTCCCACTTTCTCCTCCAAGTGTCCTATGTAAAGGAAAAAAAAAAAAAAAAAAAAAAAATAATTAAATGTTTTAACTTATGATCTGCTTTAAACTAATGTGATACTAGTGTAATTAAGGATGCATCTACTCTCATAAACCAAAGCAAAATCCAAGGTGAAAAGCTATTCAGAATCTTTTCCCATAAATTAATAAAATACTTAGTGGTCCTAGAGCACTAAAGGGTTCTGAAAGCTGTAAGTTGCAAGCAAATATTTCAGAAGCACCTAAGGAATTCAGAAACCTAAATCCTAAATTACTTTCAAGATGACAAAGGATACTTTGCCATATATGTCCAATATGTGTCTACCTGTAGTAATTTTTATAAAAATATAGATGTTTTTCTAAACGTACCTTCCAAGAGCTGATGATCCCTTAAAGCTTCTGCTGTTAAAACAGTCTTCCCACAACCTGCCATTCCATAAACTGTGACCCAGCCTGGATCACTTCCCAGGCAGCACAGTTTCTCTTTAATAGCATCTACCAGTTTTGGCCGAGTGACAAACACAACTGGTCTCTGTGGTACACCTCCTTCGCAGAGAACTGTCTTAACTAAGGTTAAAAACAAGAAACATGAAAATAAAAAGTGACTTCTAAATGTGATGCCTCTTCAAAGCAAACGATTCCCTGCCCCAGATAACTGGTGGGCTCCCCTCCCACCTCATGTCCCATACAAATGCTCTAAAAACTACTGGACTCACAACACCAAATAGTGAAAAAATACTGCTTTTTAGAAATAAATTACTTAACAAGTAACTAGCCTCCCACCTACAATAGTGTTCCAGTTAATGGAATACCTATGAGGCAAGCTAGTTACAGCAATCCCTAGAAGTGAAAAATAATTAACAGCTCCAGTAGAAACAGTGGCAAAGACAGGAGCTCAACATTACTATGCCCAACTCTCAAGTCGCTTTCTCAGCCAGAAGTTACCACCCCATGGATGCAGCAGAAAAGAAAGCATGCTGTGTAAGGCTTTTACTTTGCAGTGAACAGCACAGCATTTTGGTCCAAGAAAGACTCCCTTTGATTCAAGCTAAGATAGCACGACTTGCAATAGAGCAAGTAAAGCATAGCAGGAAAGGAAACGTGCGCTTTATCTGTCCACTGCTGGCCACAAAGTGGCCATATGCAGTGCCATATAATACTAATAAGCTTTGGGAAATCTTACTCAGGTAATCAAAATTCCATATGTCTACAACACTTCTCAAAATGTAGAGTGCCAGTAAATATGGCAGTTAGTCATATGCAGTCAGAAGGTTCTTCCCATTAAAAACTACCAATTTATTTCATGTCAATCAAAGATGATACTGATGACAATGTAGGTAAAAGTTAGGAATTTATGTAGGGTAACTAAAAGATCTGGTGGAGAGAATCAAGCAACATAAGAACAAGATCAACTATTGGAATGTAGGCTGAGAGATTACAGATTACTCTTCAAGATAAAGGTCAGAATTTTGGAGGCTACAACTTTTTATGTTAGATTCAACTTCTTTAATATATACAAATAAAAGTCTTTCTTTCACATACAACAAAAATGTTACAATTTAGAGAAAACTGTGAGAGCTTCAGGTCTCCCATCTTTTAAAATAAACATTACTTAATATAAACATTTTCACGGTGACCTACAAAAGTCACAATTGTTGTAACTCTCCTGCCATATTAATTACGTGAAATACAAAGATACTGACTACTACACTACTAAAACAAGTGAATGCACCAAATACTCCTTTTTCATTGGAACAGGTATTATAGCCACTTAGAAAGGAATAAAAAAAAGGCAACTTGTCTTTACTTTCAAGCACAGGGATTGCTGTAGTTACACTGACCGTATGAAGTCATTCCATCCATTGAACTCTTTCCGTTACCAGAGGAGATGGCAGGGATGCCATCCTGAAGAAGCGCTGCAAGATCTCTGTACCCTTCGTGAAGTAGTGCATTATAAAAGGATCTATATGAATTATTATCTTTTGTAAGAATAATGTTTATTAGCATAGCTGCTCGCTCCTTCTGTGTATTCTAGAAAAAACATTAAGAGATGTTATACAGAACTGAGAGACCTTAGAAACCACCTAATCTATCACTCTGTCAATTATACACTGTTTATAGTTAGCCTTCAACTTGACCAAGCCCTTAACTCAACCTTATGAAGTGCAATAAAAACTGCATGCTAGGCATTCGCTGAAGAACTTGCTGAATCCAGGAATGAGATAGACTGAAATGACTATTATTAAAAAGGATGATAAAATATATGAGTTGACTAGGAAGATAAATAAGTGAGAGACAACTCTACCTGTTGTTTCACTTTCTCTTCCTCCTGTAACGTTAGTACTTCATCAGAAATCATACGATCCATAATGTAAGATGTCTTGATGTCTTTTTCCAATGCTTGGCGATTCATAAGTAAATAATTTCTACTCTTGACATCCATATTTCTTCAATGTGAAAAAGGGGGGGGGGGGAATTCAAGTCAGAACCAGAACATTACTTCCAAGTACAATTTTGGTTTTAAAGTCAGAAAAAGGAGCAGAGCAGTTGCATTAATGGAAAATACAGTGAATCCTCAGGCAAGCTCATACTACAAACTGCAGAAAGCTAAACTATTTAGTTGGTTTTTCACTTTCTGTTATGATAAAGAGACTTTCATACCACTGTTCTATGAATTTAATTATACAGTTTATGACCTACTAGTCTAGCTTGGCTGGACAGTACAGTAGCATCAAGAAAACACTGGGGAAATCAAATATTCCCTTTCAATAGAGTAAAAAAAGGCATATATATAGTTAAGTTGTAATAGTTCATGAGCTACTGTGAATATGAATAGTATTCTTGAAGTATTGTTTAGATGCCATATGCTATTATGTTTAATAAAAACATGCAGCTGAGCATTATTATACTTAATCTGACTACAGTATTTCTCTGATTGCTCCACCTGGAGGCATATAAAGCAGGTAGAAAAAGAATTTCAATCTTTAACAATTAATTAGACTCACAGCAAAACTTCTGTGCTCATGTGAATGGAAGTTTTCATTAAAAAAGCAGATATTATACTGCTAATTCTGAAAAAAAGGGAAGAAAAAAAAACCTGAGTATTTTTCCACATTCCTCTGAACTTATGTTTATGAACACTTGCAGAACTAAAGAATCACAGTCTGTGCAAGCTTCTCATATACTAGGAACTTGCTAAACGTCTCTACGAAAAGGTCTCCTCCCCACCCACTACATCCCTCAAATTTTTTAAATCCTTGGATCATGTGACTGGGACAACAAGATGAGAAACAGGACTGGTCTCACAGCTGACAGCACTAGGCAGAACTACAACAGAAAATACAACCGAAGGCGATTGCAAGCTCCTCCACGGTGCAGCCACGCAGCTGCCTGCAGAAAAGCTCACCTTTTCCTTCAGTCCCTCCTTCAGGAGCAGGGTAGATGCAGAACAGCTGCCTCTGGATAACCCGATGGAGCGTTTCTTCCGCCGCACTGACAGAATTTCCTATTTTCGCTGAAAATTATGCGGTTAGAAAGTCTTCCGCCCTACCCTTACCCCACCACACCGCTTCGGGAAGGGGACGTGAAAGCTCCCCAGTCGAAAAACGCCCAGGTTATACAAAAATAATAATAATAATCAGTCCACACGTGAAGCAAATACCAAAAGAAAGCACCCCACAACCACACAAAACAAAGGGTTACCTCACACCCAGGCAACGCCTCACCGGAGCCGCCGTTACCAGCCGCGGGGCGAACGAAACAGAAACCGGAGCGCTCAAAAAGCCGCCCGCCTCACACCCCCAGCCCCGCCGGGCCGGGGGGGGGGGGGGGGTGTCTCTCCCCGGCCACCTCCCCTAAGGCAGGGGCAGGGGCGGAGGGGGACAAGCCGCCTCCACAGCGGACGGCTCCGGCGCCGTGAGCTGGAGTCAGCCTCGGGGCGGGCTGCGGTGAAACCGAAACCTTCCAGGCAACGGCCCGTCCCGCCTTCCCTCCCTCTCCCCCGCCGCCGCTCACCGGGCGGGCAACAAGTTCCCGCCTCACCCTGAGAGGAAAGCCGTTACCCCGCACCGGGAGGGGGGGAACAACCCGCACCGCGAACGCTTCCTCCTTCCGGGCCCGGCGGGTGGGATGAAGGGCCGAGCCGGCCCAGCCCGCTTCCCTCCCCGGCAATAACCCGGCCCCCTTCACGGAACAAAGCCCCGTTCACCCCGCGCCGGCGCAGAGCCGCGGAGACTCGGCGTAGCGGGAGCCAGTCTTCGGCGGGGGGGGGCGGCCGGGCGCGCCTGACGTGGCTCCC